TACATATATGCTTGAGTATATAGATACATGTTATTTCTTATAACTGTATGTCAGAGAAGAAAAGTATATATGTGAGTGTGTATGTGTGTGTATATATATGTATTGTACAAATATATGCTTGAGTATATAAACTTTCTATTTCTTATAGAGAGGACACATGTGTATGTATGTATGTATGTATGTATGTGTATACACACATAGAAAAGGATAGGAGAGCTTGTTTCAAATGAACTTCACTCTATAATAATTGCAGCCACAATTAGTATTTTAAGACCCACAGTTTGTTGAAGAGATTTATCAAAGTCAACAGAGAAACAAGCAAGGACAGAGATGGGAGCAGGTTAAGACGGGACAATCCAGGGAAGAGAAGAGCTGGAAGCATCACAAGCTTCCTTATCCTGAAGGGGCAATTAAAAGGGAAAAAATGCAAAGCAAAGGACCAGAATTTAAGGGGATCCTTTATATTGCCTCTTAGACAATAAAAAGCGTGGTGTTTTAATGTAATGGAATATTGTTGGGCCATAAGAACCAACAAAAGAGAATTTCAGAGAATCCTGGGATAGTGTGAAGTGATGAAGAATGAAGGGAGCCAAGCCAGAAGAGCAGTTCATACAAGGACAGCGACACTTGTGTAGAAAAAGAACTCTGAAAGACTTTAAAACTGACCAATTCATTGGTGAGCAATGTTAGCTGGCTAACATTGGATATATGATACCCACTCTTTTGACAGAAAGGTGATGGATTCAAAACACAAAAATTTCCTTTATTTCTCCTGTAACTTTTGGTTAATATTAACCTCACTTGACCATAACCTGTCAGGTTTGTTTTGGACATAACGAATTTGAGATACTTCTGTGCAAAGTCAGCCTGGGCAACTTTATGTTCAAACCATACTTAACCTTTGATTACGTGTGCAGCCAGCCTGCAGGAGACAGTGGTCTAGAAATTCTCTTGCATATTTGTACTTGGACACAGGGAAAACTGAGATGGCATAAAACCCATTTCCCCATACCTATACCAATCAGCATTTTTACCCTTATATGGAAATTGTTTACTCCTGCCTATAAAAGCTGTTCACAGTTTAAAATCAGTGCAGGTCACTCCCCGACTCTTGCTGCCTTGGTGTGCTAATAAACTACCTTTGTCTTATTTCCTTAGTCTACCTCATTGACCAGGGCAAGGCTTTACCCAGGATTTTTTTTTTTTCCTTAACACCTGTGGGTCATCCAGTCTAAAATGTTCAAAGGCAGTTGGTGATGTGGGGACTGAAATTCAAGAGTGAGATTCGAACTGCATTTAGAGATATGGGAGTTATATGTCCAGAAATAACAGAACCCAAGGTAGCGAATAATGTAATCAAATGAGATAGTGTACAGAAAAAAAAAAGAAAGAGAGGAAGGGAGGCTAGGCTCCAGGACAGAAATTAAGGTACAACAAGTTAGTGTACATGACATAGATGGTCTATTGGGATTAAGAAGGAGTAGTCAGATCAGAGAATTAGGAGAGAATAGTGTTATAGAAAACCCAGAAAGGAGATAGTATCCAGAAGGATATATAAAGATATATAAATACATTGTCTTTCTGCACCTTGAATTTATCACCTGTCTGTCAGGAGGTGGGTATTATCCTTCATCACTGATTTTCTGGAATTAAAGTTGGTCACTGTAATGATCAGAGTTCTTAAAAGTCTTTCAAGGTTGTTGGTCTTTATGATTTTGTTGTTGATGTATAAATTGCTTTCCTGATCTAGTTCGTGTCATTCTGCTTAAGTTTCTACAAGTCTTCCTACACTATTTTTAAACCATCTCTTTGGTCATCACTTCTTATTATTCCATTATATCCATTTGACATAATTTGTTCAGTCATTCCACAATTGATGGGCACCCCTTAACCTAGAATTCTTTGCCAAAACAAAAAAAAAGCTGCCACAAATACTTTTGCACATTTAAGACCTTTTTCTCTTTAACTTCTTTGGGGAATAGGCCTAAGAGTGTTTTGACTTTAGTTTCAAATTGTTTTCCAGAACGTGTGCACCAATTTAGTTAAACTAACACATCATTAATGGACCTGTTTTCCCTCAATCTCTCTAACTACCTCTTTATTGCGTCACCTTTGTTAATCTAATTTCTGTGAGGTGGAACCTCAGAGTTAATTTAATTTTTGTTTCTCTAATTTATTAGTCATTTGTAGCATTTTTCATATAACTACTGATTACTTGGATTTTTTCCTTAGAAAACTTCCTGCTCATATCCTTTGACCACTTATCAGTTGGGGAATGGCTCTTGTTCTTGTAAATTTGTAACCAGTTCCTTATATATTTTGGACATAAGACTGTCTTAAGAGAAGCATACTTAAAAGATTTTGTTCCCCAGTTACCCATTTACAGTCTAATCTAAATTGCATTGAATTTCTGTAAACATTTTAAGATTTTATGTCATAAAAGCTATCCAATTTAATCTTCTGTGACCCTCTCTATCCCTTGTTTGGTTATGAACTCTTCCCCTATCCATTGATCAGAAAGGTAATTTATTCCATTCTCCCCTAATTTGTTTATCTTGTCAGTTTTTAATGACTAAGTCATATTAATGTGGAGCTTTTCATGGTAGACAGTGAGATTTTGGTCTATACCTAGTTTCTAGCAGACTGCTTGCTAGTTTCTTCTAGCAGTTTTTGTCAAACAGTGAACACTTACCCTTGTAAACTGGGGTCTCTGGGTTTACCAAAAAAATAAGGTTATTATGTTCATTTGTTTCTGTTTTCAAACAGTTTATATAATATTAGAGTGAATTGTTCTTTGAATATTTGGTAGAATTTCTTGTAAATCCAACTGGTCCAGATTTGTGAGTGAGTGTGTGTGTTTATAGTTTGTTCAATTTATTTTTCAGAGATTGTATCATTTAAATCACCTCTTCCTTATTCTGTTAAGGTAGGAATATTTTTGTAAATATTTATCCATTTTGTTTGTTTTATTATATAATTAGGCAAAATAATTTCTTATTTTATTTCCTAATTTGTATTGAATTCTTTTTTAAAAATTTTGATACTAGAATTTGGCTTTCCTATTCCTTTTTAAAAAATCAAATTAGGTAATGATTTATCAATTTTGTTGTTTTTAAAGCACTGAGTTTTATTTATTAAGTTGATGACTTTGTTTTGTTTGCAATTTTGTTAAGCTTATCTTTGACTTTCAGATATTTCTATTTTGATGTTTATTTGGAGTTTTAAAATTTGTTTTTTTAAATTTTTCTTTTTAGTCATGTGCTCAATTCATTCATTTGTTCTTTATTGCTTTTGTTGATGAAAATCTTTAGAAATAGAAAATTTCCCCTAAGGACTGCTTTAGTTGCATCCCACAATTTTTGGTATGCTGTTTAAGTGCTATCATCACATTAAACAAAATCATGTTTTGCTTCTATGGTTCATTTTCTGACCTACTAATTATTTAGGATTAAGTTATTCAATCTCCAAATAACTTTTAATTTTTTCTTCAGTAGCCTATTATATTGTGGTCAGTAAAAGATATGTTTAATATGTCTAGTTTTCTACATTTGTTTGTAAGGATTTTATGCTCTAATACATAGTTATTTTTTGAAAAGGTGTCATGTAAAACTGTGAAATATATATACACACATACCTTCCTATTCTCATTCAATAATCACCAGATGTCTATAATTTAACTTTTCTAAAATTCTATTCTGCTCTAAATTTATTTTTTGGTTGGATTTGTCTAGGTATGAAAATGGGTATGTTGAAGATCTTTATTATTATAGATTTATTGCCAATTTCTCCCAGTAACCCATTAACTTTTTCTTTAAAAATTTAGATGCTATCATATTTGTTGCATATATATTAAGTATTTATATTAATTCTTTATCTATAATATAGTTCAGCACAATATATCTTCCCTGTTTGTCTCTTCAAATAAAATTTCTCTCTTTCTTTTTTTTCTACTACTGCCTTATCTGAGAGATCATGATTGCTACTCATGCCCTTTTGATTTCAGCAGAAGCATGATAGATAGATTTTTGTTATAACTCTGCATGAATCATCATGTTTCAGGTGTGTTTCTTACAAACAAAAATTCGTTCTGCTATTATGTTCCATTTTGAGGAACACAAATGCATCCCATTTACAATTATGAAGGCCAATTATCTATTTTCCTCCATCCTATAATCATAATTTTCCTTTCTTTCTTTCCTTCTCCTTCTTTACAAAGAGGGTGGTGAGAGAGAAGGAATGAGCTTAATTAGCACTAGTGCTCTATGCCTAATACAATATTTTACTGCTCTCATGCCCCTCTTCTTTTTTTTTGTCCAATATTCAATCACCCACCCTATCTTCCTTTCTTCCTTTCTTCCTTCCATCCTTCCTTCCTAATGACTTTTTGGAATTGATCTTCCAAGGTTAGAGTTTTTGCCTTGTTTTTGCTTAGTGCTAATCTCTCCCTGAATATATTCTATTATTATTTCTTCTCTCCTCCTATTCCTTCTTTTTTCTCACATTTAGTGAAATGTATTTCACCCAAATTTGTGTGTATTCTATCATTCTTTGACCAAGTCAGCTGAAAATGAGGTTCAAGCGTTGCCGCCCCCATTCTTTCCCCCTTTTTTGCATAGTCTTCTATGTGTGCAACCTAGTAATGGAGTTATTCTATTATATAGAGAACTACATGCTTACAAGTTGGAAGTTGGCCTCAGTATCTTGGAGAATATCCTACATACACTGTCTTAGGTTTTCTAGGAGGTAGCTATGAGCCAAGAGACAGAAAATCCTTAAAGGACACCTGGGCCTTTACTGTCATAATGACTTCTGGAATAAAGTTTACATTGCCTAAAGTATGACCGTACAGTCAAGTACAAGTTTTCTCTGAGGAGTAATGGAATTAGCAAAAGCTTAAGTCTAAAAGACAGTTGTCACTATAGGGGAACATTTTCTAGACATGCTAATCGCCATGCATATCCTATAACCCTATTGGTAAAGAACATTAGCAAACTACTTACTGCAAAGAGGCTTGTATTCTTTTCTTGAATCATGGACTCCAGCAATGTATGGCTCATTTTAATGACATTTTCAATATAGGGTAAGCAACTTGACTGATATTCAAGACTTACAACCTTGATAATATTAATACGTTTTTCAACAGCCATATAAACAACATCTCTAAAATAGTCTGTGTATACGTCCAAGATATCTTTAAAATCACTTGAGGTTAATTGTTCTTGTAGTCTTGATATTTTATATGCCATTGCCTTCGCTTGTTCTACCATGGTACAAAATTGAAGAAATTGGTGGCTATAACATTCAACTCGTGCCATTGAATTACCAACAATGGTCAGAAGGTTCACAATCTGTAAATAAATTATTAACAGTTAATTAGGAATTACAATGAACACCAAGAAATCTCATTTTTAATACTTTCTATTAAATTTAAATTATTTACTCACTTCGAAAAGTTAATTTCATTAAGCTAAATTCAGGACTACATTTTATTAGGCTAAAACTCAGTTCTAAATGCCCAAACCGCTGTAGAAAACAAAGATAGGAGTCTGTGAAATATTCAGACTGACATTTCTTCTTTACATCACTCTTTCTAGAATGGCAGAATTAAAAATGGTGATGATGATGAGGAGGAGGATGATAAAGATAGCTAGCATTTGGATAGCACTTACTATGTGCCTGACACTGTGCTTTGCAAATATTATCTCAGTTGATCCTCACAGTAATTCTGGGAGGTAGATGTTTTTATTCCCATTTTGCAGATAGGAAAACTGAGGCAAACAGAGGTTAAGTGACTTACCAAGGGTCACACACCTAGTAAGTGTCTGAGGCCAAATTTGAACTCAGGTCTTCATGACTCTGGAGTTGGTACTAGATTTGGATAATTATTTTACTAATTCAGATCTTGTTTTGAGCTTTGTTACTAAACTCACATTGCTTTGGTAGGCAGGATCCATTTCAAACAGGACAGAGTAATCTGGCCATTTTGTCAGCATTTTCTGTCTCTCCAATTCTTGTTCACTAGGCACTTGCATAGTCATAGGATCAAAGAAAAAGATAAACAGGCGCTGATCTTGACTGAAAGGAATAAAATGAGCTAAAAAACACAATTAAAAAATTAGTATTTTAGCAGTCCCATCTATAACAACTCCTAAATTATACTCATAGCACTTATAGCTATTAAGAAATAGGGCAGGTGATGGGGCAGCTAGGTGGCACAGTGGGATAGAGCACTGGCCCTGGATTCAGGGGACCTGAGTTCAAATCCGGCCTCAGACACATAACACTTACTAGCTGTGTGACCCTGGGCAAATCACTTAGAAAAAGGAGTTGCAGGAGTCCTTGGATAAGGGAATGACACACTGAAAACCGTGTTTGGGGAAAAGTTCTGGAGTAACTTGGTACAGGATGTACCCAGGTAAGAAGAGTGAGGCTGGAGAAAAGAAGACCAGCTAGTGGGTTATGGTAGTAAGAGTCTGGGTATAAGGTGATCAAAGCTTAAACAAGGGTAGTAGCTTTGAAAACAGGAAGTAAAGATCTGAGTTAGTACAGAAATGTTAGAAGAATTTTTTGAACCTTTGTTAGAGATGAAGAAAAAGGGAGAGAAAAGGAGCAGTTTTAATCCTCTGCAACTCAGAGGATAGTAAGGGTAATGTTAGTGATAAACACATTGTTTTCTGTTTTAGAAATGATTAATTAATCTGTTTTACAATGATTAGCTTCCTCCCTTGTAAATATTAAAAAAATCCCAGTGGCTCCTCATTTTCTGTTGTTTTTTTTCCCCAAGGTTCTGCCTTTCGCTCTCTGGCCTTCTCAACCTTGGAATACTTGGATTCTAGGAAAGTTTATCTGTTCGTGTAGTATAAACTACACCCTTTATAGATGTCATTTCTGACCCTGACTTTTCCTTAATTTTCTTTTTATCTCCATGGGCTTTTATTTCTAGCCAACATCAGGTAATATGTCAAAATACACAGCTCATCAAATTCTCTCTCTTCTGAGTTTTAAATCAAGTTTAAAATCTATCATAACACAGTGAACACGCTTAAAGTCAAGAAGACTTGGGTTTAGGATTTCTTTGTCTCTGTCTCTTTCACGCTCTCTCTTTCCCTCTCTCCCTCCCTCTCATTTTACCGTTAAATCTTAAAACTTATAGGTAAATGAGCTGAGAAATTACAATGCCCTGTAGCTCTAAGTTTGTAACACAGTCCCACATCTTATCTGTGTCTGTGAAATGGTGTCTTAGTATTTACACTTTTTCAGCTTTTATAAAAAAAGTTCTTTCTCTGTCCCCCCCAAAACATCAAAAGAAACAAGGCATCATTCTGCGTCTTTGACAAGGTGATTTGTCTATTTATTCCATGGTTCATTTTCTGTCCTTACCTATTCAAATCCCCTTTGACAACTCTTTATTTATACACATACTTTATAATTTTATAAAATCAAAGTTCTTTTCCTATTTCTTTAAGGCATCAAAATGTTCATCTATGAGAGGTAATAGCAACCATCTTCTAGCAATTGATTTAATTTTTTTTCTTTGTACAAAAATGCTTTTTCTGCCTTTTTCATACTACATTGTTACGTATGAAAAGGGCAGTGCTTTACTATAATAAGAAAAATGAACACCCATGAAAATAACTACAACTTTTGTGCCAACACTGGTTAGCATTAAAAGGCAGAAAAAAACTTGATAAACAATTTGAAAAACTCCCAGAAGGCCAATCTGACATTATATTAATACAGGAGCTCATAGATTGAACAACAATAGGTCCCTGCCCAAGCACCACTTAATGATTATTTTTTGGGCCCTCTTGTGCAGAGTGAATGTAAACAGTAACTGTATCTCTTGGGGCCAGCAACCCTGAGGTTGCTTCCCCTCCCAGTTTGATTTTTTTTATTAAAAGGGCCACCCCTTGACTCACTTCTTAAAGAGGAATATTCACTGAATGGGTGTTGCCTCACTCTGTAGGACATTTGTAGGAGGAACAGATTTAGGGAGAAAGATCATGAGTTCTGTTTTGGACATAATGAGTTTAGGATACAGGATATCCAAGAGAAGCAACTGATGATGTAAGACTAGGATTTAGGAGAGAAATTTGGATCATTGCTGCCCAGATCTTTATTTCCAGATCTAGTCACTCTCCTGAGATCCAGTCTCACATTATTAACTGCCTATTAAACATTGGAAAATGTTTGTGTGATAGGTATCTCAAAACTCATTTTTTTCCAAAACTCGCCCACTTTCTGAACTTTTGGCATCACTATCCTTGAAGCCGTCTAGGTTTCTACTTCCACAACTTCTTTCATATATAGTTAAGTCCTTGTTTCTCCACCAGCACAGCCACTATTCTATTCCAAGACCACCTGGACTCTTGTAATCGCTTCCTAGTTGATCTCCCTGCTTCTCGTCTCTCCCATCTCCAATCCATCCTCCAAACAGCTGACGAGTGATATTTATGAAGTCCAGATCTGACCATGTCTCCCTCCTTCTCCGAGCTCCAGTGGTCCCTGATTATTTCCAGGATCATATACAGTCTTCTGTTTGGCATTTACAGCCCTTCACAACCTGATGACAATCTCCCTTCCCAGAATTTTTATACATTGCTCCTCTTCAAGCTTTCTACAATCCAGTCAAATTAGGATTCCTACTATTCCTCATACATAACATTCCCATCTCCCTTCACCATGCTTTTGCATAGGTTGGTCACCATGCTTAGAATGCAATCCTTCACCTCTCTGCTTCAAGACTCAATTCAAGCATTATCTTCTACGAGAAGCTGTTTCTGGTCCCCCAATTGCTAGTTCCCTCTCTCCTTATCTTACATTTATTTGCATTTATTCTCTTATAGTGCTTGTCTCCTCAGTTAAAATAAAAATTCCTAAAAAACAGGAATTGTATCTTCTTTGAAATTGTTTTCCTGGTACAATGTGAGGCAGCTAGATGGCTCAGTGGATAGAGCACTGGGCCTGGAGTCAGGAACCTGAGTTGAAATCCGGCTTCAGATGCTTACTAGCTGTATGACCCTGGGCAAATCACTTAACCTGTGTTTGCCTTAATTCACTGGAGAAGGAAAAGGCAAATCACTCGACTGTCTTTGCCAAGAAAATCCAATAGACAGTATGGTCCATGGGGTTGTGAAGAGCTGGACACAACTAAAAGGCTGAACAACAACAAAAACAATAGTATAATGCTAAGTACTAATAGCTGCTTAAGGAATACTAGCAGATTAATTGATTGATCAGTAGGTAGGATACAGGCACATGGGAAGAGAAGTGTAAAAATGTAGACAATATTTTATTAGTATATGAAGTTAGAAGATAAGAGGGAGAGGATGGGCCAGGCAGAAGGACACAAACCCTTGGGCAGTTAAGGAGCATGCTAAGGTTTTAAAGGAAATACTTTGCCACCACGATTCTGCTATCTTTTGGTATTGATGGGATTGGCAGCCACTTGATGGTGAAGAACTACCTGGTGAAGTTAAATATTCCCGCAGAGCTGTATAATGAAAGAACCCAAAATAGGGAAGCTCCCTAGCAGAGCTAAAAGAACCCTGAACTGGGCTTCCAGACACGTTAGTTCTTCTAGCACAAACTATGAATGTGGACGTGCTGTTTTATTTCTCTTGGTCTCAGTTTTTGTAAAACCAGTGGGTTGGGCTCAATAAAAACTCACATTTTTATAACTTATGCTTTAAGGTCTGCAGAGTGTTTTCCTCACAACAACCTTCTAGAAGGTCAGTGCAAGGATTGTCATTCCCATTTTAGAGATGAGGAAAAGAGTTAAATAACTTGCCAAGGGCCACACAGCTAGTCAATGCCTGAGGCAGAATTTGAACTCAGATACCCTTATCCAAGTTAGTCACATTCTTTATGAGGATTCTGAATATATATTAGTTTTTAGAATGCTGCAATATGAAATGACTTTGTGCCCTTATGACTTCTCTTATTTTCCTTCATAATCTCCATGACTGTCCTTATTTATATACTGTTATTCAAAGGAAATTGGGTAGATTTTAGCTTAGGCCAGTCAGTCAACAAGCATTTATCAAGTACTTACTATATACCAGGCACTATGCTAAGTGCTAGGGATTCAAAAACAGACTCTCTTAAGAGAGAAGGCACAAGGAGTTATGAGTTAAAAAGTCCCAAGAATGAACTCTGTGTTAACCAGACTATCAGATTAATTGGCCCCACCAGCGCTTCATAGGCCAGAAAACAAGAAATTGTAGCATGTCCTCCCAAATCCCATACACTCACTGCTTATATTTCTGATCATCTGCTGTACACTATTTTTCAGCTTTTTCCTTTATGTATTATTATGGAAGGATCAAACAGAACCATTTTGAGACCACACCACCACATATATATATATTGCTCTAAATGGATCATTTAAAATAAAAACATACTTAGAGATTTTTCAAAATTATTTATCACTTCCTGAATTTTCTTGGAAAATTCCAATCTGTTGGGAGTTAGGAAGAGATTTGCATGGAATTCTGGAACTCTATAAAAGAAAATAATAGAGATTTTAGAGCAATGTAGTAAATGACATGAAACATTTTTTTTGCTTGGAATCACACAATTTTCTGACACTTACTCTATGTATTTCGTTACATAGTCGTCTTCTTGGTCCACTGAAGATTTTTCTTCTATTTTTATCAGTAAAAAGAAAGAGTAAAAACTAAGTGAAGGCTGGATCAGCAAAATGAAAGGTTGGTAAACATGGATAGAGAATAAAATTAATTACTATTAGCAAAAAAGGATACTCAGCTCATAAATGACACAAATAAGTTTTACCATGAATCTATTTATGATCATTTTAGGGATGCATTTTAAGCCAATTTACCAAATGCATGCAACTTATACACAAACTACGTAAAACAGAAAATATTTTCTTTTTAACATTTTCCAGCTATTATTTCATAGAATCATAGGATCACACATCTAGATCCAGAAGGGCTTTTAGAAGTCATCTAGTCTGTTGCTTTCATTTTACAGATAAGCAAAATGAGACCTAGGGAGGAGGAGGAGGAGGAGGAGGAGAAATAGCAGCATTACCTACCTTCTTATTTGAATTGGCAGGGTCTCAGAGGGCAGCCACTGCTATGCTCAGATAATATGGTAATATAAAACATTCTCCTAAAACCTGGTTCACTGCTTCCCTCAAATACACACAGCATCCATGGGAGGTTAAAAGACTTATACCAAGTCACAGAGGTTATAGGTGTCGGGGGGTGGTGGGGTGGATTTGAACCCAAATTGTCTCACTACTAGGTCAGTGACTTTTCCACTGTATCATTCAGTAAGACTATTTAAGGGTTTTCATCTGTAATAGTCTTATTCACCTTTTTCAATATTTCCAAAGATAAGTGGTTTCATTGGTGTGAATATACCTTCCATCAATGCAGCTGCAAGCCCTTTGCATCTTAGTAAATGGACTTCACCAGTTATCACTGGTTGAGCCCTGTTCCTGAAGAACAGCTGATTAAAAACCTGGATAGCAGGAACATATGTTGAGAGGCCATCAAGCCCAATTCCTTCATTTTAAAGATGGGGAAAATGAGACAGAGTAAAGTTAAGAGATTCGTCTAGGTTCACGTAGCTGTAAGTGTCTGAGATAGAATTTGAATCCAAGTATTTCCAATACCAGGTCCAGAGCCCTATCCATTATGCCATGTTGCCTATCTTCCCCCTTATTGGTAGAAAAGTGGAGGGCTATGAATGCAGAATATAATATATATTGTCAGATCTGGTCACTTTGTCAATTTGTTTTTTCTTAATTGTCCTTCCTTACCAGGGAGGATTAAATGGAGGAGATGAGTATATTAAATGATAGTGGAGTAAATTATTAACCCCCAAATCATCCTTTGGTGGTCAACTATATGGTGAGGATCCTCTGATCTCAGCTAGCCTGGCATACAGTAACAGACACATAGTCCATCATAGGACCTATGACTGAATTGTTTCCGGTTTGGTAGTACCTGCAAAGCTCTAGAGACTTTTAAGAACTTTGGATTGCCTCCATGCTAAGATGAGGCATTGGAAGGCAAAATAAAATGCCAACTTTTCTTACCAGAAAGTTTTTCTTCAATGTTAGATCGTAATTTAGGTTTTCTTCTGGGAATTCTGGAAAATAGTGCATCTAATGTTTTGATGGAAACATCGAATGGATTATCTAGTTTCATTTCATCCAAAGGTTCTGAAAGTTTGCGTTGAAAACTGTCACGCTCAAATAGGGAATCTGGAGCACTCTCAAATGAACCATCCTCTGTATAAAAAGTTTTTCGAGGAACTTTCAAATGTATATGTACTTCAAATACTGCCTCATTTTGCCTCCTTGATTCTTTTTTCAAACTGAGATTCTTAGACATCTAATTTAAGAGACATGATAAGATGTCAGTGATATTTTAAAATTTACATTTAAAATCTTTCAAAACTCAAATGACAAAATGAAAAATGACACAAGACCAAATTCCAGCTGTTGAATAACACATAAAATGATCTACTCCATCCTCTTTGTTCTGCCCTCATACTACCATATACTTTAACATTCACATATGAACACAAACAAATAGAAGAATTACTTCCAAGTCATTCATACTGAATAAACTAAGAAAATAGTTCATATTCCATTGTGATGAACTGCATTTTATTGTACCAATTCCATCTTTATATTAGAACCATGCAGTGGCAGGCAACCTGTGGCCTCAAGGCCACATGTGGCCCTCTAGGTCCTCAAGTGCAGCCCTTTGACTGAGTCCAAACTTCACAGAACAAATCCCCTTAATAAAAGGATTTGTTCTATAAAACTTGGACTCAGTAAAACTTGGACTCAGTCAAAAGGCCGCACCCAGGGATCTGGAAGGCCACACGTGGCCTGGAGATGGGAGGTTGAGCACCCCTGCTATAGAATATCCAGCCAATGGATCACATTTTTCAAGTAAGTCCTATACTAAGCAAACTTCAAATAATTTTCATAGCAGTTATAGATTACTACTTAAATATGCACAATACTTTAACATGATGCTAAATAAAATGAAAACGAAATATTAAGTTGTCACTTTGATTAAAATCTCAATTCCAAAAGTACAAGATGGTAAAGAGTCATGCCTAGATTCCAAGTTATTTGAAAAATACATGGAGATTTTCATGGAATGAAAGCTAAATTGGTTCACAGTGTTATATATCAATCAAAAAAGTTACTATAATCTTAAGCTGCATTAAAAGAGAAAGAGTGAAGAGTTTCAGTTAAAATGGTAATGTAAAAGATCATAGAAGAGCTGAACTCTCCCATATATACTCTAGCAAATATTTTTAAAGACCAAGATAATGATCAAGAAATCCAAAGAGCTCCAAAACTGCACAAAAAGATAGGCAGAAGCTTGTATGCAATGAAAAAAGGAGTCCTACTAGGGAAGCCAGAAGGGGCACAAGAGGTCAGAAATCCGTTGGGGGTTTCTTTGACCAGAGAGAATGCAAGCTATCTAAAGCCTGAAGCACTTTATAGGGAAAAGGGAGGGGAAAAAACAGATTTTTGTTCATTAAAAAAATTTAACTTAAAAATAATCATTTATTTCTTGAAAATTATGACCAAATAAAAAAACCCGAATAACATATTTTAAGAAACCACACATGAAAACTGCTCAGATCTATAAGAACCAGAAAACAAAGTGGAAAAAAAAATGTACCACTTACTTCATATAAGAAACCTCAAAATAAGAACTCCCAGGAATATTATAGAGAAAATCCAGAGCTTCCAGGTAAAAGAAAAAAATATTGCAATCAGTCATAAAGAAAGAGTTCAAATATGAAGAAACTGCAATCAGAATTACATAAGTTTTGGTAGCAACAACCATAAAGAAAAGAAAATCTTGGAATGCAATATTCCAAAAGAGAAATGATAAAGATATACAAAGAAGAACAACATATTCTGGGGCTTCTGAGGCTGTCTGTCATTGGAGTCTCCCAGGCTAAGGCAGAGGTAGAAGTGTAGCTGTAGCCCAATTCTTTCCATGGTGTATCTGTATTGTGAAGTGAATTGGCCAAGATGTTTCTGCAGTATTACCTCAACGAGCAAGGGGACTGGGTCTATACCTTAAAGAAAACAGACCCTGCAGGACAACAGACCTCTTATGCTCACCCAGCCAGATTCTCCCCAGATGACAAGTATTCAAGATACCTTATCACTATCAAGAAGAGATTCAAGGTTCTCGTGACCCAACAAGCATGATTAGTCCTCTGAATTACCACCCACCAAGCAATGGCAGCCACCAAGGACTGTGGCCCAAGAACATTTTCCTACGTCTAGACCACCTCATTCAGGAAGAGCTTATATCTTTGACTCTTAACCCATTCTCGCAACTTTCCAATTACTCCTTTTGTACACTTGCTTCTTAGAATCTAGCTCAATTTGTCTGTGTTCCTCTCTATACTTGGTAGCAATCAGCCTAAATTGAAAAAGCCTAAAGTTGACACATCTTTTTAATCAATGTTGTAGCTATTAAAGCTGAAATGATTTAGAAAAAAAAAAAGAACAACATATTCTTCAATACTGGTCATAATAATATAGACAAAAAAGTGGATTTGTAATAGAATTGAGGACTTTCAAACATCTGTGATAAAAAAAAGATGAGTAAAATCTTAAAAATTAAAACAGTCAAGAGGACATGAGAAATGTAAACATATATGAGCAATTGGAGATATTCCTTTGACTTTTTGTAATAAAATCTGGTTTACATATAACATCCTTTTTATAATACCTAATTTTAGGAGACATATGACTTCATCTGTGGGCTATGTAAATGTGCTATGATGAGCTGCATTATAAGATTTGACTATATTATTGATCACTATGACTTCCTTTATACGGTGACTGCGTTCTCAAAAAGAGTTTACAAATCAATTGTTCAAAATCCATTAAAAGACCTCGTTATTTACAACAAAATTGTGTTGAATCCCCCTACTTCCCTCATTTATATATTTTATAAGTGTGAAAATAATATCATCCTTTGCATCTGAAAACAACACTATTGACCAGGAATTGTCAAAAAACAATGGTGTATGATAATATGTACATTATAAATAAAAGCTGTGATTGTTGAGACAGAATTTGAAGATGGAACTATAGATGTTTCAAGCTATTGTAATGCTCTACCACAATCAGAAAATTCTCCCTTAGAAATCTACTACTTTTCCCCAAATAAATATGAATTTAGGCTAAGTCTTCTTGATTATTTTCCATGGAAAAGTAGATATCTTTGTCAGGTAAAATACTGAATAGCTAGTATGGACTATATTACTCTTTCGTGAGACTATAATATAAATTATATAATATATATGTGTGTATATATATATCTCATTGTGTAATAGTAATAACACTGAATAACACTGGGTTCTTAAAGGTTTTGCCAGTAGAACACAAACAAAAGACCACCATGAACATAATTATAGTATATGTGCCATCTATGGAGAGGATAAAAAGGTAGGGAAGTTCTATGAATAAATGGATAAGATCCTCCAAATTAAACGAACACATTCTTAGCTACTAGGTGATATTAATACAAAGGAGGGAATAGTCAAAGATGTCAAGAAACATAATGGAAAATATGGATATCAATATGATAGGTTGAGAGGAAGAAAGGACCTAAGGATATCTAGTCACTCCCTTTCCCCTTGCATTTTATAGATGAGAAAACTGAAGTCCAAAGAAGTTAGGTAATTTGCCCAAGGTCATAAAGATAATAAGCAGCCACTACGGACTTTAAATCTCGGTCTTCTAGCTCCAAATCCATTGCTTTAGAAAAGTCAAAGACATTGACAGGAAATAATGGAAGAGATAGTTAGGAGCATGACAAGTGTTAGGAAAGGAAACCATTGGCTCTGCAATTTGGAGACAGAAAAGACAAATGGTCAATAAACAGCATCCACAAATACACAGGAAGAGGAGAGTGAGGTAGGAAATTACAAAATTCTTTTAATTATCCCCCAATATCTCCCTGAAACAAAGGCCTATCTTCTTAATATCAATAATTTACCAGGATTCTTATATGGTGGGGAGACATGCTACCCAGTCTATGAAAAATTTAATGAGTTTTCACACAGAAGGTAACGGAGAGTTAAATGGAGGTATGAACAGTCTGCAACATAAAACAAATAAGGAACTCTGAAGATCAGGATGAGAAATAAAGGAAGTAAGTCATTAGGAAAATATAGGATTAAGAAAACATAGCCAGGTGCTCCAATGGTAGGAGCAAGTTGTCAGGGGAAAGCAAAACAGGCCTCAACCATACCACCCTTTGCCAAACTTATGGAGAGAAATGGAAAAGTGAAGACGATGAGTAGTTATAAATGGATTGTGATTTGCGTCATTGCCAAGAATACACAAATTTATGAGAACACAGATCTATTTGATTACTGTATTTAGGTCTGACTCTGTGCTTTGGAGAAAGCTGAGTAGGTAAGTCCAACAGCATCAGCAATGATTTTTCGGGCAAGATTATGGTTTTCTAAGAACTTTTACCCAGCAGAAAGAGGAAAGAATTGCTAGGCTCCAAGGATTGATCGAAGGTACTTCTCAAAGTAACCATGTAAGCTTCAAGATCTCACCAGACCATTAAAATTTAGTATTGAGAAAATTAGTGTAGCTAACCACATTACAGGATCAAGGCCAACTTGTGTGATCAGATGCTCAACCTCGATACTATTATTAAGTATGCAGCATAAGTGGTAATAAGCAATAAAATGTTATATGAAATTAATTTGTATGAAAAAAACGGACAATGAGTGTCATTAATCAGCAGCAGCACTGTGGTTTTACAATGAGAGATACAATGCCTGTAGGAAAAGAAAGAAAAATCCCAGATACAAGTCTCCACAAATAGCAAGAGGAAATTTCGGGTTGGCCAGACTCCAGCATAGAATCATACAATAGTTTTAGAGCTCAGAGGGAGCACAGAAGCCACAGAGTCTAATCTCCTCATTTTGTAAATGAGGAAACTAAGACCTATAGGGCAAAAGACTTGATCAGGGGTCATACAACTGATACGTGTGTGAAGGAGCATCCCGAGTCTTCTTGACTCCAATTCAGTACTCTGTCTACTACATCAATCATCCATCTCTACATCTTCTGTTGGTATAGTTTCCTTTCTCATTCTCAGCCTGCGTTTTCACAAAACAAGGGGATATTTTCCAAGACTTTTACATTTATTACTAAAATCACAACATCTCTATCACTTATTAAACAATTAGCTCTGAACCCTCACCCCCACTGAGAAACCTCCCTCCCCCACCCCATAAATATTTGCTCATCTTTCCATATCAAATCCTCTAATTTCCTAGCTTATATACCAGAAATATGGGTTATGCTATTTGTTAACAATGTAACAAATGATAAGAGACAAACATAATTATTCATAATTCAACTTTGAGAAAGATCAAAGCTAAAATTACATCATTAAAGCTACAAACTTCTCAATTCTGGAAATAGTCCTACCACTTAATTCTCTAAGAATAGCAGCCAAAGTTTCTCAAGAACTCTCTTTATACTATTTCTTTTCAAAGTTAAAACAGTTCTCTTAGGAAGGAAGTTTTTCATCCTCTTTTCCACTGTAGTCAGTCTCTCTTGTGGCATGGCAGGTAAATTTCCAGAAAGACCATCGAAACTGTTGGGCTCTCAATATCCTATCACCTTTTAAAGATTCAGTAACAGTATACGTAGTCTCTGTGGAGAAGCTATTAAAGTTAGCAGTATATAAAAATGTTGTTGGGGTCTTGTTATGTAAAACTATTTTATGGAACATAAAACATTTAGCCAATAATATTGGTTAGTTTCCTTGAGTGATCTCCATTCATTTACTAATCTCTTCTGGTCACACTGTGTTGTTGGCTGACCATTCCAAACTATTAGCTAGAGATTCTATAAATATCTCCCTTATCTTTATCTTCTGAATGTCATTGCTAAATAAAGCACATGCATCAACCACACAAACTATAACTTTTCAATATGAAGGTAAAAAAACAAAATTTTTAAACCTAGTCTCTCCTTTATCATATATGTTTCAACAAATTAATTTTTATATTTCTCAGAGGTCATTTTACCTTTGTAATATCATCTAGTGAAACTTTGATATCAGTTAATGAATCACAATTTTCTTTCTTATCATCTGTAACTTCTGGCACTTTAAACAATATGGTGTCCTTCGTTGCCCTAGATTAACAAATAACAAAAACTGGAGACAACTTTCAATTTTCAATTACATATTAAAAAGCTGTTTAACTTCTATGACAAATAGAAACATTAATTAAATTTGCTAACAAATTAATAGAATGTTTACAAATTTTAAATTTTTAAAGAATATCTGCTGTTTGTCTTCAAAGATTACAACATAGTTTTCTTATTTCTGTTAGTGTTTAACTTTTGAATCACAGATATATTTGATTACTATCTCTAAGACAAGGCCATATGGAGTGCAAAAAGAATACTGTATTTTTGGGACTGAAATTCTGGTTTTAGTTTTTACCAATGCAGTAGGACTGTGTAACAAAATTTTTTGAATCGTGTTTTCTTCATCAGGAAAATAAAGAGATTGGACTACTTTTATGATTTACTTTATTCCAGTTGATGATTTTATTTGTTTAAAAAAATCTATAAAACTTTTCTTGACACTTTCAAAATAGTCACAGATGTTTTTGATTGTTGTTAAAGCTACTAAAGAACTACATGATAGAATTATGTCCTGAATTATACTGATCACTACTTTAACATACATTCAATGGGTCAAAAAGGGCAAAAATATATTTCAAAGATAAGTAGTCATGAAGAATTAATTAGGGGAATACTTCACCACAATTATCCTACCACCATCATAAACATAAAAAGCAAAATGAAAACTTTGGCCTTTAAAAGTGTTTAGAGAATATAGATATCTCATGTATGAATCTGGAAATATAAACATGTTTAAAATACACACTTTTTTGTTGTTGTTGTTTAGGCCTGAGATTTCAAGGTTGGGTAATTCCTGGTATGGAAACTCCTTTCAGTAATACAGATTAGTAACACACGTGCAGCTTATTATTTTAGAGTATTGCCTAGAGGGACTGTTACTTTCCTGTGGAACACACACACAGCCAGTGAGTGCCAGAGGCAGGATCTAAACACAGGTCTTCCTGATTCCTAAATTCCTAAAATTAGAAGAGGCACATACCATGCACAGAGACATACAAAATTTAGAGTGAAATGAATTATTTTAAATTTAGGAACAAAATATAATAAAGTATTGTGGAAGAATATACTTGGTTAATTTCAATTGTGATCATATAAAATAGTTAGAAAAGAATTTCTGAATAGTTTTTAATATTACCAGATAGTTCTCTCAAAAACTTGTCAATACATTTAAAAGAAAATTATTGCATATCCTTAATACAAGAAAAATAGTAGAAATTACTTTATGAGGTCTTTGTTCTTTTTTTCTTCTGAACATCCCACTTTGCTAGATTTAATAAGTAAATCCAAAAATAGTTTGATTGCAGTCTGCACCAGCTGTCGGATCAGTTCTTGGAACATGTGGTCAACTAATTTAAGAAATCTTGAAAATTTTTCTATCATACGACGATGCACAGGTGCCTTAAGATGTTCTAGCTTGTTTTCAAGTGGTTCATGCTCAAAACAACTTTTTATTCCCTTCCTTTCTGCAACCTTTAAGCAAATTTGAAGGAAAAGGACAATGTATTTCTTGGAATATCATAGTCATTGTTTTGTAGCATTATTTGTCTAAATAATACAATGAAATAAAACTTCATAAATTTAACTTAAAATTCACTGCAATAATATGCTATCTTAAACACCAATCTAAAGGAAACCTACTATTATGTATTTTGAGAAATACATTTTAAATCAGTAAATCACTTGTGAATAGTTGGATTCTTAGACATCAGACAAGGAAACTTCAAGGAATAGCTTTGATTATTGAATGTATCTACAAAGGTCTTTATGTCTTGAGCATATAAACTAAAACGCATGCTCAGAAAAAAGAGGAATGTAGGACACAACAGAAGAAAATTTAAGAGGTCCTATAAATATTCTGAAAAGTGTGAATTCCATAAAGAGCTTTTTAACTGGTGCTTAAAAAATTTCCAATACCCTAAGGCAATGAAATAAATAAATGGTTAGAGAGCATGATCTGAATGAGGGTCCACCAAAGAGTCTGAGAAGAAGCAGTCTGGTAGGCAGGAGTAGAGACAGGAGAGAGTGGTGTTCCAAAAACTAGAAAGAAGAGAGTATCAAGGAGGAGAGAATAATCAACAGTGCCAACAACTGCAGAGAGGTCAAAGATGATGAGGAAATGAGAAAGGGCCCTTGGATCTGGCAATGAAGACATCACGGGTAACTTTGGGGAGAGCAATTTTTGTGGAATGTAAGGTTGGAAGCTGAATTGTAAGGGGTTAAGAAGAGAGTGAGAGGAGAGAAAGTGAAGGTACCTATTTGTATATTCAGAAGTTATATTCATGTAAGGAAATGCAGGATCCAGATGGGGAAGCATGGTAAATTACATTTGAGTAAAGAGCAATGGAGGGAGAAACAGAAATGAATATCACTGGAGTATACTATATTCCCCGTGGACAGAAAGATGAAATAGGTGAGAAGTCTGGGGAATGAACTATAATATTCAGGCAAAAGGTGTAATATAAATGAAGAAACTCAATTATCCAAGTATTTATGAACTTTCTATCTGCCAAAAACAGTGCAACTAATAACATCTTGACTTGCCTTGAAACTTTATTTTTCAAAAGGTGGAGGAAACAACAAGGGAAAATGCCATTCTGGATCTGATTCTCACCACAAAAGGATACAAGAGGTGGGAACGCCGGGAACAAGTGATCATGTAATAGAGAAAGAAAAGAAAGCTAAGGCACATTCTAGCATGCTATCTCAATTGAAGGAGAACAGATTTCTAAGAATTTAGAAGAATGGTAAGTAGGACATGGACCAAAATTCTGCAGTAGAAATTGACTCAGAAGAGATGAGATGCTCTCAAGAACAGAATTCTGAAGACACAATGAAAATCGATGCTAGTGAGAACAAACAGGAATTATCTAAAAACAGCTCATCAACCAATTAACATTTTTAAAACTATGTATATGATATGGAAGAAATGAGAGGTAACAGGATAAACACGAAAATGTAGCATGATACTGTAAAAATAGTGTCAGGAGTGCTGACGCCAATGAGCAGAGACTAACTGAGAAGGTAAAGGAAAATCTAGAGGTTTTCTTGTTGCTGTTTTGTTTTGTTGTTGTTGTTGTTGTTTTACAATATATTGGAGAAAAGGAGAATCAAAGCAGGGATCATTAGCACTGCTAAGGATGGAAAGGAGACTAATAACTGAGGACAGAGAGAAAGTAGATTTGTTCAATTCTGATTTTGCTTCTATTTTACTGGCCAAAAAGAATGATCTTTAGGCTGGAAAGTACAAAACAAAAAAGGTGAAAAAGAGTTATTACCCAAAATAAATAAGGTGACCTCAGGAGAGCACTGTGTTGCCTTTGACAAATTCAAATCAACTTGTTGATTAGTTGTGTCCGACTCTTTATGACCCCTTTTGGGGTTTTCTTGGCAAAGATACTGGAGTGGTTTGCCATTTCTTTTTCCAGCTTACATTACAGATGAGGAAACTGAGGTTAACAGGGTTGCATGACTTGCCCAGGGTCATACAGCTAGTAAGTGTCAGAGACCAGATTTGAATTTAAGTTCTCCTGACTCCAGGGCTGGCACTTTATCCACACTGAGCCACTTAGCTGCCCAGATCAACTCTATCCTCTGGTTCTGAGAGATCTGGGGAATGTGATTGCTGAGGTACTGTCAGTGGTATCTGAAAGCTCATGAAGAAAGGGACAGTTATTGGATGACTGGAGAAGGGCAAATAGTATTCCAGTGATCAAAAAAGGACAAAGATAGGTGGTAAATTATAGGTCGGTGAGTGACTTTGACTACATTTCCTGGCTACATTAAGAGAACCTATATTTAAGGGATGCTGAGTGAATATCTAGAGAAGTGAGTGACACAAGGACCCAACAAGATCAGTCATACAAGTCTCACTTGATTTTTTTTTTTGGAAAACTGGATGAGGGAAATGCTGTAACCTACTCAGGTTTTGGCAAAGAGCTTTGATGAAGTAATTAAGGTTCTTATGAAAAAGATACATAGGCATAGGGACTATGCCAAAAGGCAATTAAATGGCTTCCAATCCAGTAGAAAAGTCAGATTCAAAGAATAATCATTGGTGATTTAATATCAACTCAGAAGGTTGTCCTCCATGGATTGTACCAATGATATGTTCTTGGAACTGTGCTATTTGACATTTTTGATCAATGGCTTAGATAAGAGTCCGGGTGGTGTCTTTATCAAATGGCACATGTCACCAAGCTGTGAAAGATAGTTGACACTGAGGAAGACAGAGAAATGACCAAGCAGATCTTAGTGGGGTAGAACATTGGACTGAATCTATTAAGACAAAATTGTCTAGGGATTCAAAAGGGAATTGGACTTGATATTTTGTCCCAGACACATGCAATGGATAGAAATTTCAAAGAGTTAAATTTAAGCTTGATGTCAGGAAAACTTTCTTACCAATTGGAGCTATTCCAAAAGTGGAATGGGCTAGTGGGTTCCCCCACAGTGGAGATCTTCAAATAAAGGCTGAATGACTACTTGTTGGTAAGGAAAGTGGAATAAGCATTTACATAGTACCTATCACGTGCCAAACTCTGTGTGCTAAATGCTTTCACTAATATCTCTTTTGAAATTTTAATAATAAATATTGGGCACACTGAATTAGCTGTTCTTTTTGAGGTACGGCCTAGATTACTCCCGACATCCCTTCTAGTTCAGCAATTCTGAAATTCTGTGAAGCACCCTTAATTTCTGGAAGGCTAAAAGAAAGATAGTTTGACAGATTATTGAAGTATCAAAAGGCCTTTAAGAATATTTAAATTTATTTATATATTTAAGGTTATAAAGAAGAACCAAAATCATATCTCCTGGGAAACCTTCAGAATGATAAAAAAAAACAAACTTTTATTTTAAAAAAAACTTTTTAAAAGATCATTTTTTTAACTGAAAAAACTAGTCAATCTAAACTAGTGAAGAATAGGTGTGTCAAAGTGCAATACTCTTATAAATAGCCCAGTTGATGAGTAATTGAGTAATATGTGATAAAAGCAATTTATTGCTAACACTAACTTGAGAACCTATTGGGCTTCTGGCTAACACTCTATTTTCTCTTTCAACTATATGCCTAAAATGATAGTGATTCTATGATTTTCTAGTCCACAGTGAGCTCTGATGACTGAGTATCCCAACTAAGTAAGGCAATAAACAAAAGAGGTCAAAAGACTTATCCAAGTGTCATGGAGAATGTTCTTAAAAAAAAAAAAGTCCAAATAGAAGGGATTCCCTATTGTTGGTGAGGTTCTGCACATGTTCCTATTTGTGGGTGATACTGAACTGTTTGTATCTAGTACTGAAACTCTGTGGTTTCTCCTCACCAAGAACCATGGTCATTCAAAAGTATCTGATTAATCAATAGGAAAATAAACTGAATGAAGAACATATGTAATTGTTACTGAATTATTCCATCAGTTTATCTCGTATAGTTTTAGAGATGGGCAACGAACTGGGTTCAAAACTGAAGAGAAGGAATTGGGTTGCAGCCCAAACTGCAGCACAGTGGTCCTAGATTTCTCGTAGCTACAAAAGCTTATCTTTTTTAACACTGATATTCTCCCAGTGAAGTTTTAAGAGTCGAGAATCATGAAACACCATTATGTATGAAGAATCAAAATGGTGGCAGAAATACAAAGCAAGGAAAACATGTATGGCAGTTGTAAGTACAAAGCACATTAAGAATATATCAATGATATCTTGGGGTCAGCTGGGTGGTGCAGTGGATACGATGGGGTGCTTGAGTGCTTATACTGGGACCCCAATTCCAAGACCCTATTTCTCCCTAGCCTCAGAAACACTATTCCTGGTGGTTTCCCCTGGCCCAAGGACACTGTGCCTAGCAATTACTCATGAGTGGTCCCCAACAAGACACTTATCTCTCTCCCTGGTGCAGTTACACAAAGCTGGGTGAGAGAGTGATGGGCTGCTCAGGCTGCAGCCCTAAGATGATGTCTCTAGAAGCCTCCCAATTCCTTAGTAAGCTCTTGTCCTGTGAGAAATTTTTCTCTTGTTGCAGAGCATTCTCTAATCAAGGCAGAGAAAGGGGTGCCTGGCCCAAGGATTTTTGTCCCTGGCTGGCCCAAGGATTCTTCCTCCCACCAGATCACAAAGGTCCATGCCTCTGATGACTCCCTGTCTGGTATACTCCCTACATTTTCCCATCCATAACTCCCAAAGACACCTGGACCTTTAGATTACCTAATCAGTATCCCTGGCATTCCTTTCCCATGCCCTTTTCCATATAAACCCCAGCTCCATCCTCAGTCTTTCACAGCTTCCTTAAGAATCTTTTCCTGAAACCCCTCCAAATACCTGCAAAAAAAAAATGGCTCTAAACAAATTCTAAAGCAGAAGAACCCACAAAAAGACAGAGTGAAACAAATTTTCAGCCCAAGTCAACCTGGAAGGTTGATTAGAAAGGTCTATTACCCCAGGCTGGGAGAGGAATGCAGTTCAGCTTGGGCGTGCTGGCAAAACAGGCCTCAGCAAACCTGGAGCAGGCCTCAGAGGACTGAATCATGGGCAGTTGGGGTGGTTTCCAGACTATTTAAACCACAAACGCCAAAGACAACTTAGAAGGTCAATAGGAAAAGCCTGTGACTGCAGTGAGAGAGAAGTTTGGTCCCAGTCTCAGTCCCAGCACAGCCCCGGGGCGGTGGCTGCTTTCTGAGCTTCTAGCCCACAGACTAAGAGGGAATCGAGTGGCTGATCAGAGGAGGATTTCAGGGATCTCTTTGTTGGTGCAGGATTCTCCTACTTTGCCCATGCTTGGATCTGGGTCACAGTTCTGGGTGGCGGTCCTGGGGCAAAAAGGAATGCTGGCGGGGTGGAGCTTGTAGTGGTGGTGGAAAGGAAATCCTCACAGTTCCAAGGAAGAAGAGTGCTTGTGGTCACTCACAGACCACAGCACATGCCAGAAAAGGAGTAAACACCTCGTCCCTTATCATACCACCTTGGAAGAACTGAAAATTTACAGGTCTCTAAAAGTATCTCTGAAAACAGCTGCACAAAACCCCCCGAAGCTTGGGACAACAGTACATTCTCCACACTGGAAGCAGACCCCTACCTTAACAAAGAGTTTGTAACTCAAGTAATTGACTGGGATCATGAGCAAACTTTGCAAAAAAAGTCAGACCATAGAATCTTTCTTTGGTGACAAAGAAGATCAAAACATACAACCAGAAGAAGACAACAAAGTCAAAGCTCCTACGTCCAAAACCTCCAAGAAAAATATGAATTGGTCCCAGGCCATGGAAGAGCTCAAAAAGGATTTTGAGAAGCAACTAAGAGAAGCAGAGGAAAAGCTGGGAAGAGAAATAAGAGTGATGCAAGGAAATCATGAAAAATAAGTCAACAGCTTGCTAAAGGAGACCCAAAAAATACTGAAGAAAATAACACCTTAAGAAATAGCCTAGGGGCAGCTAGGTGGTGCAGTGGATACAGCACTGGCCCTGAAGTCAGGAGGACCTGAGTTCAAATCCAGCCTCAGACCAAATACTTAACACATACTAGCTGTGTGACCTTGGGCAAGTCACTTAACCCCAATTGCCTCACTAAAAAAAAAAAAAAAAGAAATAGCCTAACCCAAATGGCAAAAGAGGTCCAAAAAGTCAAAGAGGAGAAGAATGCCTTAAAAAGCAAAATTGGCCATATGGAAAAGTCCAAAAGTTTACTGAAGAAAATACTTCCTTAAAAATTAGAATGGAGCAATTGAAAGCTAGTGACTTTATGAGAAATCAAGACACTGTAAAACAAAACCAAAAGAATGAAGAATCTTTGCGGGCTGTATAGCGTAACAATAAATCTTTGCCAACTTGACTTAAAGAATGCTTGAGCCTGTAACTTCATTCCAGACAACCCTGTCCTGTGCTCTGGTCTTTGAGGGGTCTCAACCTCTCAGATCGCAACAGATACAGCACTAGATTTGGAGTCAGGAAGACCTTAGTTTAAATCCAGTCTCAGACACTTACTAGCTGTATGACCCTGGGTAATCATTTAATCCACTGTCTGCCTCAGTTTTCTCATCTATCCAATGGGAATAACAGTAGCACTTACTCCCAGGATTGAATGAGACAATATTTATAAAAGCTTAGCATGGTGCCTAGCACATGGTAGGTTATGTAAATGTTAGTTATCATTATTGTTATTATTATGTCTATGACAGTAAAGGGAAGCAGGCTAGCTATGTAACAAGAGTGAAGAAAAATGGATAGACTTCATCTGAGAACTTCACCAGTATCCACAAATATTAAAAGAGCTAAACAAAGATCTTTAGCACACCCTATGGATGATTTTTAGAAAGACATGGATAATAACCACAGAGAATAAGACAGCATGGGAGAGGTTGTAATCTGTAATGGGGAGACAGTACTCATATAGATGGAATTGTAGATACATAAAATTGCTCAAGTACATGTATCCCAACACTCGGATGGTAAATCTAAGCCCTAACAGAAAGCAGTTCTAACTTTGTGAGTGTGATGGTTGTTAAACAAGTCATGGGAAGCATTTCTTAATACAGAAATCTTACCAGTGTTTTATAATTTTTTAATGACAAACTCTAGCTTATTTCTCTGTCAGAAAGTGACTTCATGCAATGCTCCTAAGAGAAAAAAAGCCACGAGAAGGCTAATGCAGCTATGGAATCACACTGTGAATAACTGATTCTTTCCTTTCCACTTGGCCATACAGACCAAGGAAAGGGAAATGAGTCAGAGGAGAGGGAAAAGAGCCAGAGGCAGGGGCTCACAGGAATCAGCTCTTACCAGCTAGAGAGATTTACCTGTTAAATTTTCAGTATGTGCATTTATACCTTAGAAATCAGCAAGCACTACAAATAAGAGCTTAATTTATTTTTTGTTGATTGCATCGATAATAATAGTGCAAATGAAACTTAAAAGGTGTCATGCATACATTTTCCCAGTTGTTAAACATTTACCAGCATACTCCTTGTTAGAAGGAACACAAAAGGACTCAACTAACTGATCAAAAACGCCTAGAAAGGTTATGACTGACTCTTCAGCTGTAAACCTTAGAAGGTCAAATAGCCCATTAATGACTGTGATGATGAAAGGTCACCTACAGTAGAAAAAAAAGATCTGGAAGGATTTCTGACACCAAATAGTCTCACAAAGCTACAGAGAAATTCTAGGAAAGTTGAATTCCAAATGAGACTTCTGGGTGAGTTCTACTGGACCAGTTTCTACTGGGTAGAAATCATAGCTGGATCAAGTACTGGCAGATATGCTTGTCACTTTGGGCAGGTCATTGAACCTTTCTAGGTCTCAGTTTTCTCATCTATAAAGTGAAGGGATTAGGTTAGACTAGCTGATATGTAAAGGCCTTTTGAACTTTAAATAGTATGATCCTATGATAATAAACAGGTTAGCTACTGACCCTAAGTATTTGACTTTCTCTTAATTTACCTTAAATTATATATCACATCTTTTAAAAAAAAATTAGTACTAAACAACACTAGGTGATAGTCTTGTTTAGTGATTTTTTTTAAAAATCAGACTTCTATTTTAAACTTGGGATAGCTAGATGGCTCAGTGAATAAGATTCCATGCCTGAAGTCAGGAAGACCTGAGTTCAAATCCAGCCTCAGACACTTAACTCTGTTTGCCTCAGTTTCCTCATCTATAAAACAGGGATAATAATAGCATCTGCTTTGTAGGTTTGTTGTGAGGATCAAATGAGCTAATATTTGAAAAGTGTTTAGCACAGTGCCTGGCACATAGTAAGCTCTACATAAATGTTAGCCATTTATCATCATCATCATCATCATCATCATCATAAAAGCATGGTTGAGTGGCAAAATATGACAAGATTTCTCTTGGTAAAACATGACTATTGCCCTTCAGATCATAAAAAAAGAACTGAAGTTTTGCTATCCAGTTGGTAATACTGCTGTATCATCATCACAGGCAAAGTACTTAACTGAGAGGTAGTCACCTGAGGACTGAACTTATAAATGCAAATCTAACAAGTGATGATGCCATAAATATTCAATTGTAGTGTTAAAGAATACTTCTTACATTTCAGCTTCACTGTGTTGCCTATGTGTATGTGGTGGGTCCCTGTGCAACCTAGAATATTATTATCCTGCATACTGCCATCAGATTAACCTTCTGAAAATAGGCTTTCATTTCATTCCCGGGTTCAAAAATTCCCAGGGGCTCCCCACTGCCTACAGCATTAACTCCAAACTTAGAGTGGTAGTGAAGGAGCCAACCAGTTTGGTTCCATGCTTGTTTCCCCCATTACTCACATACAAACTCAATGCAGCAGTCAAAATGTTCTACTCACAGTCTCCCTCAGTTCACTCTGCTCCTTACCTTGAAAGTCTTCCCACCCCCTCTCCACTTATCTCAATTGACTAAACTATTCATTAAAACTCCCTTGACCTCCTCTGCAGGAATAGATATCTTTCTCCTCTGATTTTTTTTTTTATTGGTAATACATAATACACGCACCACTCATTTGTCACTTATCTCCTACTCCCTTGCTTGTTGTTTATCTTTTCGTGAATATGCCACCCCCTCTACCAAGTTTTAAGGTCCTAGAGGACAAGGCCACTTCTTATAGTTCTCTGTATTCTCCACAGTGCCTTGCAAAATGTGTTGTATATAACAGGTGCTCAATAAATATTGGATTAATTGATCAGTCCTTTGGCCCCTCAACTTGACTTTTGCCCACTCCTTTCAGGACTACAATACAGCAATAAATCTACTTAATACATGGAAGTTATTCTTCTATAACCCTGGTAAGCTGAAGAAGAGATAGGAAAGGAACTGAAGAGTTTTAACACAAATGTATATGGCACAGCATTCGGGCTTCCAGAGGGTAAATATAGAGAAATAAGATATCTTTAAAAATTACCTGTAAAAATGTACTTTTAATCACTGAAATGATTTTCTCCTTAAGTTCTTCCAGCTGTTTTAGTGCTTGGGCAGTCTGTTGTAACTGCTCCTCACAAAACTCATCTAAAGAGTATGTCTGGTATCGGTCCAGCTAATACAACAAGGGAAAAGAATAAGCCTTTGAAAGTTAAACTTCATTTATAAGACTATGACAGGAAAAACATTTTCATCATCTTTTCCTGGTTATAAAAGAAGGAATTAAATGATATTTCAATATGATATCTGCAAAAACAAGCAAACAAAAAATCCTTGATAATTCACAGAACTATGTCAAAGGAATAGAAAAAAAAAACCCCATGATTGCCAATTATTAAAACTAGTTTTAAGGAGATGTACAAAAGTGAATGTATTTAGAATAAAAATAATTTTAATGCTCTGTAACTCCAGTCTTAGCCACTCCCATCCTCACTGCAGAAAGCAATCAGGGAATAATAGAAAAAGGCATCTAACTGGAAGGTTAAGAGACATAATCTCTAGTCTCTACCCTAGCTATGTCACCTTAGACTAGTCAATATAACACTCTGGCTCTCAGTGTCTTTTTCTATAAAATTAAGGAATTGAATTAGATGACCTATAAGATTCCATCTGACTGATGCTCAGTGCCTCAAACTCAACAGGTCCCAATTTGAAATAATTATTTTCCCCTAAACAACCTGCCCCTTCTCCTAAATGCTGTCTTTCTATGAAGGTTCACCCATACTCAAAATACAGGATTTGCTTTTTTTTTATTGTTAAATCAAATGTATACTTTTTATTTTTATTTATATATTTTTTATTTTTCCCCAATTACAAGTTAAAACAATGCTTTAAACATTTATGTTTTTTAAAGTTTTGAGTTCCAAATTCTATCCCTCCTCTCCCCACTTCCTCTCTATCAATTGCCACACTTTATTGCCAAGTTCTGCAGATTGTACTTTCATAGTATTCTTGCATCTGTACCCTCTTCTCTACTCAAACTTCCAACACCCTTATTACTCCTTTTTAAAATTATGGTAGTATCCTCATAACTCATCACTTGCCATGTATATAGAGTTCCAGAGGGCAAGGCTGAAGTGGACGATGATTAGGCTATGGTTAGAGCATGATTATTCTGTGCTTAGAGTATGGAGATAGGGGGAAGAGGGTTTTTAAATTTGGATCAAGGGATGAAAGCAGCAGAAGTGAGAAATTTGCCCACTATTGGACTAGATTTTAGCTGAAGTATCTTCCAACTCTCTAAAGTTCTAGCTTCAAAATATCGCTAGAGTCCTTTCTTTATGAATATTCCTATTACTACTGTTTTATTTCAGGTTCTTATTGCTTGATGGATATTAATACTACTTCTTAATTGGTCTTCTGACCTCCATTCTTCCCTCTGTTACAAACAGGATACTTCACAACTAAAATCATGTTAATCTTCCTAAACTGCCATTTTCATTACATCGTTTTCCTTTCCCTTCATCCCCAATTCTCAGATAGCGCCCAACTGGACAACCCCTTGCTGGGACATGGTAAATAGAGGGAACTCATATGTCCAACAGAGACTCTAAAGGGCCTACCTTGTTCCTTCCAATTCTAAGATTCTAGGAGCTCTTACGGCACAGCAGCAAAGCAACCAGGGGGCACAAGGATAAAATGCTAAACATGGAGTCAATGAGACTTGATTTTGAATCCTGCCTCAGACACTTAGCAGCTGTTTGACACTGAGCAATTTACTTACCCTCTCTCAGATTCAGTTTCCCTATCTATCAAATGGGGACAATAATAGCATCTATCTTACTAGGTTGTAAGGATAAAATAAGATAATATATGAAAGAACTCTGCAAACCTTAAAGTAGTATACCTTAGCTACCATCATTATTCATATCATTATTATAATAATGCTAAAACTCATTAAATGACTATATAATTAAGAATTATGTAAAAGTAATGGTAGACAGTTATCCATCCCCAATGAGTAAAGAATAAAATAATAGGCTTAAGTGGAAACATGAGACATAGGTTGAAATCTAGGAAAAATTTAATAACAGAAAAATACTTTTTAAAAGTTTAACTCCTCCGTGCCATGTTTTAGGTGCCTGAAGAAAGGGGGGAAGGGCCACGTTAAATTTTTTTATCTAAAGGCTTTTATCTAGCACTAGATTCTAGGATCATATATTTCTCTGAATCAAAAATTTCAGTGCCAATTATTTTACAAAGTTTTTATATATAAACTCCAAGGTATATTTTTTACTTACTTTAACCAGAAGGATTGAAGAGGGATTATCCTCAAAGAATTTGCCTTTTTTGAGGTCACTTGCATTTTCACAAAGGTTCCGTACTTGAAGCAAACATCTTTGAAATAATTTATCAGCCCAAAAAAGTTGCTTGTACAATATCAATCTGGAATTTTAGAAAGTATCTCAAAACTCATTTATTAAAATAATGTTAATTATATCAATTTAGAGTCAACTAGAATAATTTATTTCAAGTAAGTTTTTGGTTAAAATTTAAAGTGACATTATTAGTCTCTACGATGTTAAAATTTTCAGTGGCTCTGGGGTTTTTTGCTTCTGCCTTAGGACTCTATAGGCAAACAGACTTTCCATTTGGGGAATGCATGTCTGTTTTCATGAGGGTTAGAGACTAGGTAGGGGTGCTCTGTCAAAATCTTCTATCTGAAATACGAAGGAGTTGGGATCAACAAGAACTGCTAAAACTACATTTTGCTTACATATCTATTCAAATAAAACACAACTATTTAATTTTTAAAATCACTTTATTGATTGTTTACTGTGGACACTGAGTGAGATAGGAAATGAAAGAAACAAAAAGGTTAGCTAAGACATGGAACATGGTCCCTGGCCTCAGAGAGCTCACAGCCAGGGAGTAGGGGGAGGGGAAAGGAGATGATTGTGGATAAAACATGTGAAATGATAAGTATAATTCTAATTATATTTCTAATTTTTACTAACAATACATAGTACGTGCAAGGAAATGTTAAAGACTAAGTACTACATGAAATCCTAGAGGGAAAATACCATCACCAACAGGGGATATAATGGAAAGCTTTACAACAGAGGGGAAATTTGAGTGGAACTTTGAAGGACAGGCAGGAATTCAACAGTTAAGAACGTATTCAGGGCACAGACTAGGAAGCCTAAGGCATACCCAGTAGACAGAGTAGAAGAATGAAATCAACTGGAAAGGTAGGGAGGTACCAGAACACGAAGGCTATTGAATGCCAACCATTCTAAATGCGAGAGAGACATAAGGAAGAGCTAACAATTTCACTAACTATTCATACATGGAAGACAGTCAGAAGCAGTGAAGTCAGAAGAGAGTAGGAGGAAAATGGTGCTAGATTTGGGTCATGTTGACTTTGAGATGCCAACAGGCTATCCAGGCAGAGATGTCCTGTAGGCAGCTTAAGGTACAGATCTGGGGTCACTATCTGCATAAAAGTGGTAACTGGAACTACAGGAGTAAATAATATTGCCAAAATAGTGGAAAGGGGCTGAGGATCAAAACTTGGGGAACTTCCACATTAAAAATTAATGTTAGTGAAAGGGATAGATGAGTAATTAGAGAGGTAAAGAGAACCAGGAGAATATTGTATCTCTAGGGTCTAAGAAGAGAGTATCCTTCTAGAAAGAGGGAATAGTCAGCTGTCAAATGATATAGAGAAGGTAATGAGGTTTGATGAAGTTCATTAGATTTAGTGATTACAAAGGAGGCCATTGATGTACTTTGAGAGGGTAATATAACAATCACCGAATAAATGCTTTTTAATTCATTCAGCCGTTCATAAACTGGACAGTGTCCAAAGAAGGGTAACCAGGAGGGTGGAAGGGTCTTAAGATAACGAAAAATGAGGCTTGGTTGAAGAAACCAGGGATGTTTAGTCTGGAGAAGAGAAGACTTAAGGGGATATCTCTGTTTTGAATAATTGGAGATCTGTCTTTCACAAAAAAAGATGTATTAAATTTGTTCTTGGCCCCAAAATGTAGAACGAGAAGTAATGTGTGTAAGGTGAAAAGAGGAAAATTTAGACTTGATGTCAAAGAAAACTTCCTAAAAATTAGAGCTATTCAAAAGTCAAGTTACTTTGGGCTCCTCTAATTGGAGTTCTTCAAGCAACTACCTGTTAGGTGCACTAGAGGAAGGATTCTAGTCTGTGTAGTTTGGGCTAGATGTCTTCAAACTCTGAGATTCTGTGATTCTTGGGAATGTCTTCAAGTATAATACTGAGTGACAAGGAAAATGCAAATCATTTCTTTGCCCTTTCCAAAGCAAATTAAACAAGAGGAAATGGGCTTGGCTTGTTTCAAAAGAAAATTCAATTTAGTATAAGGAAAGATATCTTAATCATAGGGTAACTAGTCATAAATTGGGTTATCAGAGAAGGCTATGGACTCTCTAATCATGGAAGTATTTCAAAGTAAGATCAACAATCTTGGATTGCTTAAATGTGTATTCACTCTTCTGGAAGCATAGATCTGGGTAGATCAAAGATCAAGGGATAATTAAGGTTTTTTACAGATCTATGATTCTATTATTCCTCATAATGTTTCAAGAAAGCAATATGATTTAAAAATCATTAGAGATGACTTAAAAACACTGCCCTGAAGGCACTTAAAGGTGATAGACTAAATTACTTTCCAAAGTCCTTTTTAATTCTATGACTGTAGTAAAAGTCATTTACATCTGTTTCAATCTTACGGATTAAAATGTGTTTTCCTTTTGAAACTTTCACAAACATCATCTATATGAATATTTACTTGCTCTTGTCTGTTTTACTTCTTTGAACATTGTTTTTCCAGGTGATAAATGATTTTCTTATTCTGAAAGAAGAAACATATCTTAGGCAAAATGGACTAGAGTTGCATCTTATACATCTCTGTGGTAAGGCCTATTCATATTTGTAAATACTCTAGACCAACTTACTATTAATCTACTCAGAGTGTTGCTATCATTCTGAGTTCAATTAACTAAAAACCCCTATAAGACCTTTAATATATTGCCAAATAAGGGACACAGTAATGTGTCAGTGTCATCACAAGACCCAATGAAGCATATGATGTGCAAATTTTTCCTATAAATACACTTTGATAACTGGTTTAAAAATATACAATTATGCTTATTATTTTCTTTGTATCATATACTCTATTGGCCTGTTAATTTTATGAGAGTTAGAATGTATTTTTTCAAGAGAAAATTGGGCTTCAGTTTCTATATCACCATAGTATAGTCAATTTTTAATGATTAGCATTTGTGAAGAAGGAGAGCACCAGGAAAAATTCACAATAACAATTAGAAAAATAATTATGATAAATTTATTATTGAAATATGTTCTGAAACTTACATTTGAACATAGGTGGATTTGTTATTCAAAAAATTCATAGCACTTTAAAAAAAATACCATTTTTGTAAAGATCTAAATCAGAAGAAGCTTGAAAGTTTCAGGTTTGTTTTTTTTTTTTATCCTGCCCCCTTATCCACTCTATATTGATTCTATACCTGAGATAGAATCACCTCTATTCTTGGAGACTGAGCAAACTCTCCCTCACTTCTTATAAAATCAATAATACACACACACATAAGGTAGTCTGAGAGGGAAGATAGTAGCAAGTGGGAGATCAGGAAAGTTTTCATACAGAAGACGGGACCTGAGCTGCATCTTAAAGCAAGACTTTTTGATGCCCAATCACTGTCTTTCCCTGGATTCTCCTTCTGCTCTTTCCTGGTTCTCCTCCTACCTGTCTCACAGTTCCTTCTCAGTGTCCTTTGCTGGATATTCATCCAGATTGTGTCTGCTAACTGTGGGTGTCCCACTGAGCTCTATTCTGGGCCCTCTTCTCTTCACATTCTATATTATATCACTTTGTGCTCTTATCAGCTCCCACGAATTCAATTATCATCTCTATGTAGACAATTCTTATGTCTATTTTTCCAGTCCTAACCTCTTGATCTCCAGGCTTATATTTCCAACTATTCACTGGATATCTCAAATCGGATATCCTATAAACATCTTATAATCAAGATGTCCACATGGAACTCATTTCCTTTTCCCCAAACCTTCCCCTCTTCCTAAATTCTTTATTACGATTAAGGGTTTCATTGTCTTCATCATCACCCAAGCTCATAAGCTGGACTCTTTACTCTCTGCCCTCCTCCCCATTTCCAATATGTTGCCAAGTCTTGTTAATTCTCTTCCTAACTTCTCTCATACACATCCCTTTCTCTCCTCTGGCACTGCCACTACTCTTATTACTTCATACCAGAACTATTTTAACACAATATAACACAAATATAAAATTCTCTGTTTGGCTTTTATAACCTGGCCCCTTTCTACTTTTCTCTTTTTTTTAACTTCCTTTTTTTTTTTTGCACCTTATACAACTCCAGTTATTCTGTGATCCAGTGACATTGGCCTTTTTTCCTCTTCCTCAAACAAGATAATTTGTATTACAACTTTGTGCATTTATACTGGCAGTCCCCCATAACTGGAATGTTCTCTCTCCTCATCTCTGCCTCCTGGTTTTCCTGGCTTCCTTAAAGTCTCAGCTAAAGTTCTACCTTCTGCAAGAAGCCTTTTTCAGTCTTCCTTAATGTTAGTGCCTTCCCTCTGAGATTAGCTCCAATTTATTCTGTATGTATCTTTTTTGTATGTAATTGTTTGCATGTGGTTTTCCCCATCAGATTATTATCTCCTTGAGAGCAGGGACTGGGTTTTTTTGTTGTTGTTTGTTTGTTTTTTACACAGCACTTAGCATAGTACATGGCATATAGTAAGTGCTTAATAAATATTTGTTGATTAGACTTGACTCTCTGAGCAGAGGTAAGGACAGAGAGCATTTCAGACATGACGGGGGCGGGGGGAGGAGAAATAAAAACACTTTAAGACTAGAAGCCTCAAAAGCACAATATTCTGTACATATTTAGCAGAAGGACAAATAGTCCTGTATACCTGATATTTTCAGAATACTGTCTTAAAAATGTATTGCATCTAACTGTACAATAAATGGTCATGTTCTGAATAAGAAAATGTATAATTTTAAAAGATTTCTAACAGAAGTGATTAAAATTTTCAGTGGCAAGAACTCGAAACTGTTTGGAAAATAAATTTATAATGAATAGCTAGAAAAGAGTGGATGGAGTCCGAAGACAGGCCCCATTTGGGCTCTTTATCTCCTGTATGATGCTGAGCAGGTCACTTTACATTTTTCAGGACTCCATTTTCTAACCTATTAGGTGAGGAACATGGAACAGATACTAACTAGTGTTCTTCCTAACTGTAAATCCCATAACCCCAGTCCACAACAAAAAGTAGACAAATGATGTGTAACTATATTAGAATCTAGTTGCTCAGTCCTCTCCACTTTCTAGGAAGCTGCATAGCTTTCCCTGAATAAAGGCTCTCTCTTATTTGTCTTACCGGAATTTGGAAAAGAAAGAAATTTTACGAAATGCTATGAAGTGATTTCTTTCCACAAGCCATTCCAAGACAGGTGTCATTTCTACTTCTTCTGTCTTACCTACTCGAGTAACCTGAAAAATAAAGAACAAGGTTCTGATTTTGTTTAAAGGAAAATTTAAATAAAACGAAAAGTACCTATTTACATGGAATTGAGGAAATTATGAATTTAAGTAGTAATGAAAGTTTTATACAATCCGCCTATCTCAAGTCATATCTTCTATTGTATTCTCCAGAAAAATCTTAGGAAACATAAAAAAAACCCAAAACTTGTCTTCATAAATTACTCAATCCAGTAACCAGCAGTGGATGGGCATTTATTTTATTTCTAATTCTTTGCTACCACCAAAAGTGCTGCTATAAATACTTTGGCATATATGGGGACTTTCTTCTTATTGATAGCTTCCTTGGACCTTCCTCTGGTCCAAAAGGATGAATGTTTTACTTACTTTATTTACATAATTCCAAATTGCTTTATAAAATAGTTATATCACTTCACAGCTCCACTAATAATATACCAGTAAGCCTATCATTTCACAGCCCCTCCAAAATTTACTATTGCCATTTTTAGTCATCTTTGCCAATTTGCAGGGTATATGGCGAAACTACAAAGTTGTTCTCATTTGCATTTCTCTTATTATCAGTGATTCAGAGCGTTCTTTCATGTGGTTGTCAGTACTTTGTAATTCATCTTTTGAGAACTGTTAGTTTGTATCCTTTGACTATTTTAGGAATGGCCATTAATCTCATATATACATATACACATAAATATATATATACACACACACATACATATGTGTATATGTGTGTGAATATACATTTATTTATTTATTATGTTTCTTGGATACCAAACTCTTATCAGAGAAATTTGATACAATTTTTCCCCCATTTGACTCCTACATTTATTATCCTGGGTGTGTTAATCTTATCTATGCACAAGCTTTTTAGTTTCATGAAATTAGTTATCTATTTTGTAATTGCTCCATCATGCCTTTCTACTGAACACTTTCCCTCACATTCTATACTGAAAAAATTGAGGTAAAAAAATTGAGGTCATCCACCATAAGCCATTTTTTCTTTCCTTCTCCTACCTCACATTCCTCTCAAATCATTTCACATAGCACAGTGTTTGGCACATAGTAAGCACTTAATAAATGCTTTATCTAAGCCCATTGCCTTTACTTTAGTCTCTGATAAAAAACTCCTTACAAAGGCCAGTCCCTCAATATGAACCCTAGATCTCAGATCCTTCCCATTTTCTCTAGCAGATTGCCATCCATATAACCTTCACTCTAATCTCTGATCTCTCCCATCGACTGGCTCATTTCCTGTCACTTACAAGAATGTCAGAATCTCTTCCATTCCTCAGTTGATTCTACCAGCCTCACTAGTTATTGCCTGTATCTCTCCTTTACATCTGTTAAGTGTCCCAACCCCCACCTCAAAAGGCTATACTCAGTGCTTCCATTCCCTCTGCTCTCCCTCTCTTCAGAACCCCCTGCAATTTGACTTCCAACCTCATCATTCTACTGAAGCTCTTTTCCCAAAGGTGTTGGTAATATCTTTATTGCCATATCAACAGACTGAAAAGCAATCTTGATTGCCCCTCAATCCCCTTCTTGATCTCTCTTCAACATTTGACACTGTTCACTACCTTCTTCACCTGGACACACACTCTGGGGTTTCATGACACTGCTTTCTTGGCTTTTCTCCTATTGGTCTGACAGATCCTACTTAGTCTCTCTCCTTTTTTTAGATCTTCATCCTTATTACATTCCCAAAAGCTCTATACTGGTCCCTCTTCTCCTTTCTCTCTATATAATTTCAATGATGTCATATGCATATGATTTCTAGACAGGTACAGGTACAGATACAGACACAGGCATAATAGATACAAAGCCTCTCCTCCGAGTTCCAATCTCACATCCCCAACTGCCTCCTAGACATTTTGAACTGGATATCTGTAGTTATCTCAAACTCAAAATGCCCCAAACGTAACTCATTATCTTTACCCTCAAACCCTCCCCTCTACTGGACTTCCTTATCACTATCAAGGGCACCACCATCCAAGCTTCCAACTCGTGTTATTCTCGACTCTTCACTCTCATTCATTTCCCATATCAATGAGTTATGAAATCTTATTTTTTTTCTATCTTAATATTTCTCTTAAATATTTTCTTTTCTCTACTCACACAGCTATCATGTTATTTCAGGCCCTCAGGACTTCTCACCTAGTCTATAGATAGCATAGGGTTCAAATTGGGAAAAATCTCTAAAATATAGTAGTAAGTGAAAAGTCATAAAAACTTAAACTATGTGAAAAGTGAAAGCCTGAACATGGTGACCTGTTCACAAATCATAACTTAGACACCAAATCATAACTTAGACACTGAGTCAAAACTTAGACACTGAGTCAAAACTTAAAATACTCTGACCTATGAAAGCCAAAACAAGAATATTGTGACCGGGACATGATCAACACACACATTTATGTTTGGGCATAACATTGATCTAACCCCCAAGCTCATTACTAAGCAGAAAACCAAAAATATCCACCAATCAGCGGCGATGCACTCTCAAGCTCCTCCTGCCTTTGTCTGTTTTCTGTAATTACCACAGGGACTTTGGGGTTCTTCAGCAGGGATCCACAAAACTGTCTGGCTGTGGCCCCCGACTGAAAACTATCCTTGTTTATAAGTATTCATAATGATTGATTAAACTACTACCTATAATCAATATGGAGATACTTGGCCTCTTCCTTTGGTATTAAAAAGAACATCCCATGGTTATGAGGGAGGTACAAGGTTCCCCAGCCAGGGGAATTCCGGACCTTACAGATAGGTAGGTAACAAATATTTATTAAGTGTTTACTATGTGCCAGGCACTGTGCTAAGAACTTGGGATAAAAATAGAAAAAAAAAAGAAAGACATCCTCAAGGAACTTACATTCTAATGGAGGTAAGACAATATGCAAAAAAGGTGAAGGGTGAAGGAGGAGATAGGAAGTACTCGTGCCTGGCATAGTGACAAAGTACTTAGCGTCAGAAGCAAAGAGAGGAGGGGAGAAAACAGGGCTAGTCTGGGTCCATTCCCAATATGGGAGGCTCTCAAAAGAACTTACCAATGAGAGAAGGGAAATAGCATAGCAGAAGAATATTGCAGGGTAAGAAGGTCCCAGGCATAGAGGATAGTCTCAGGGCATGAGAGCGGCTGAGTCATGATGGCAAAATCCTTAAGACTCAGCAACAAAATTGGAAGGGGAATGCAAAAGCCTTCTAATTGATATCCCTGCCTCAAGTCTCTCCCCACTCCAATCCATCATCCACGCAGTTGCTAAAAATAATTTTCCTAACTCTTAGGTTTAACTCCATCACATTCTGTTCAATAAATTGATCTCCAGAGACAAAATCCTGGCCTTGGCATATAAGGTTCTTTCCAACTGGATCCTTCCTACCTTTCCAGTCTTCTCACACTTCCCACACCACAGTCTAAGATCCAGTGATACTTGCTGTTCTTTACACACGACATTCCATCTGTGCCCTTGTACTGACTCTCTCACATTCAAAGAAAGCTTTACCTGCTCACCCTGAAGGCCAGGAATATCCCTTCCTTCAAGACTTAACTCAGACAACACCTTAGGCTCTTCCCATTCCCCGGCCTATTTGATCCTTTCCCTCTAAGGTTATCTTTCATTTATTCTGCATGTATCTTGTATATACCTATTTTATATATAACTGTTTTGAGGTTTTAACTTAAAAAAATTTTTTTTAATTCACAGTGCTAGGGAATTCTTAGTGTAGTGCCTAGCACATAAAGCACAACTGCTTGTTGACTCGCTGATTAACAGTATTTATTTTCCATATGCTTCTATTATTGTTAGAGGTATCTTAAAGACAACAGATTCATCAAATTCAACCACAGAGATAATGTTTTCTTAAACTAATTATGAACACATGAATTGTCCAGCAGGATGCATTACCTTTGAGACAAATGACGCTGTAATAACCCAAAAAACTTGGCAGCTTCTAGCTTCATTTGTAGAAACCACTTGAATATCATATGGGTTATAAAGAGCTTGGCAATTGTTTCTGTTTCTGAGAAGTCCATATACATATTCTCCATCATCTTTAATATGTACTGATTCCTATGAAGAGAAAACATTTGAGCCTTATTTTGCTTAATTAAAAGTAATCTAATTATTTTAAAATCAAAAAGTTAATTAAATCATTAGAAAGCATAAATGTGATTTTTTTTTCAGTTCTTCAAAAGATCCATGATTTGACCAGTGCGGATGCTTTCTTCACTAATACAGAGGGCGACTCCTCTATGCCTTAGTAAATAGTTACATGAATTCCTATAGCCAAAAAAAAGTCATCTAGATGCCAAGCATCTAGAGTTAAGCACCTCTGAAATAAATAGGTTAATCCTTATGAAAGAGTCTATATGAGATTGATTTCAAATTGGAAGGCTTTCTTGATACCAGCTGAACTGTGTGTTCTGCTAGCATATCCTTCAAGAATCCAGGGTCTCTTTTGCCCACCAGATGAGGCAATTCAGTAGGGCTTTAATGGAGGAAATGTGAAGGACCTAGGAAAAATAAATAGGAAAGATAACTCGGATTTTCCAATGATGTTCAATCAAAGAGGCAATGTGGTATAATGAAAAGAATGTTGGACCAAGAATTAGGTGAGCCCTGAATTAGAATCTCCCCTCTAACACTAGTTGTATGATCTTGGATAAGTAATTTAACCTCCCTGAGGCCTCGGTTTCTTTACCTCTAAAATGGAGGTAAACTTCAGTGAGGTTCAAATGAAGTATTATTGTTTGGACAGCATTTTGTGAACCTTAAAACATTATAGAAATGTCAACAATTATTATGAAAGCTTTAAAAAATTTAAATTATCCTACTTATATAGTGTGTGGGCTGGTAAAATGCTTCTAAAGGTACAACAGCCTTGAATCTATATGACTTTATCCAAATACCTTAGAAATTCTCTTTCTGTAATACTTGCCATATTGGCAGGAAATTTTTATACTGACAGTAGATTTTTGTTTGACTCAGAATGTTATTACTGAACACCTAATTCATTTAAGTACTAAAGGCAATGGTGATTCAATAACAAAATCCCTTCCAGCTCTACACCTATTATCCTAAACTTTTTATACAGATTTTAATACCTCTTCTGCTGGCTAATAAGTAGATTTGGGCCTGTTTGACCCCTGAAAAGGTCCTTGTCACAATGTTATTTATTATAAGAATCACTATACCTTTTCAGATCTGCTGCCCTTTGCTAATGTTCAAAAAGGAATGAGAAAAGTAGAAGATACCATGTAAACTGCATAAGTTTTATTGACATTGTTATTGTGGTTGTGGTTGTTGTTTCTCTATTAAAGTCCCTCCATGCTTTGCAAGCTAAGTCCCGACTCTTGAAGGCTATGCCAAATACAGTTTAAGTTCTAATAGCATGTACCGAGCTGCAAAGGTTCAGATTAGAGGCTTAAAAATTGTGTATTGACTGCCTAAGAAGAACCAGTCGAGCTTAAGTTTGGAAGCGAGTTGGCAACTCAATGTTGCATTTTTTTCTACAACCACAATGTACAAACACTATATACTAAGCATTAGAGGATTTATGACATATGTTGACTTGGAGAATCAAATCTACATCTTTTGATTTCAAGTCTAATGTTCTGTCCATGATACCCATCCCTCACTGGATCATGGGGTCATAAATTTAGAGCTACTTCAAACTATTCATTTTATAGATGAAGAAACTACACATAGAAATCAAGATGTCACAAGAGGTTCCAAAAGGTCAAGAGATTTCCCAAGGTAGTAAATGGCAGAGCTAGTATTATAATTCAGGCCCTCTCACTCTAAAGCTACTGCTCTTTTTACTTTACTGTGCTGCCAGAAATATTAGTGTATATGTATATATGAAGGTTTCTCTGAAATGTTTAACTGTAGTGTTCAGGCTTTACCCTACTATCACTTCCAAGATGAAATAAGTGATGATGAAAGGGGCAAAAAGTAATGAGAAACCATTCTACAAGGAAAGACACTAGTAATTAGTTCTTGGTGGGTTGAGTTTCAAGGCCCTTTTCCAGGCTTAAGAGCAGTAAATTCATAGTAAAAGGAAGTAGAGGCAGTCTCTATGCCTAAGAAAGTCTTGGAGGGCATAGAATGTACAGGTTGAAAAGTCATGGCTCAGAAGTCATCTAGTCCAGTTCAATTTCAATGAATCAATCAATCTTTAGTGTCAATGCTCTCAGCAACATACAAAACGAGGAGAGATTCAACCTTGGCTTGCAGACTCTAGTTATGGGAAATCAACTGACTCCCAAGAAAGCTCATTTCTCTTTTGGATATCGCTAATTATTAGGAAGGTTTTGCTTGCATTAAACCTAAACCTGTTCCTCTGCAACTTCTACCACTCCTCTAAGTTCTGACCTTTGGAGACAAGTAGTACAAAGACAAATATATCATATCCCTTCTAAGTCTCTTCTCCAGGCTAAACAGAACCGGTTTCTTTAACTAATCCTCCTATGGCCGGAACTCAAGGCATTTCACCAAAGTTGTCATCTTCCTACAGATCCTCTTCAGTTCATCAATTTCCTTCCTAAATTGTGACATCGTGATTTCTAGGTGTAGACTGCCCAGGGCAGAGTACAGCAGAATGACATAATGACCTTCCTAGTATTTCTTTTCATGAGTACAGCTAATGGAATTAAGCATCTTGGTCAACAAGATACCCTGATGAAACATATTCAACTCATAATTGAAGTCTCTGGATCCTTTTCAGAAAAACAGCTTTTATTTGTAAAGTTCATTTTTTCAGTGCAAATGTACAATGCTACATTTATCCCTATTATTTTTCATTTTGTTAGCTTCAACCCAGAATTCTAGCCTTGAATGATTTTAGAACCTGACTCTGTCTTACTTGTCAGGTATCCCTCTAAATTTTGTGTTACCTTAAAATTTTGTACATATGCTATCTATCTCCCATCAGTTACTGGTGCTTTCCTTACCCACAGTCCTCAAGTTGATTTATATTTACTTATTCATTTGCGTATTATTTCTCCCCAAAGAATGTAAGCTCCTTGAGGGCTGGCCCTATTTCATTTTTTTGGTTTCTCTAGTACACAGATTGCTTTTCTTATCTTATTTTTACCACTAGCATTTCTAAAACTACATCAAATGGCAATAGTTAAAGAGGAGATCTTTACTTTACTCATATTTATTGGAAAAGTTTCTAGTAATCTTCTAAAAGCCTTTGGGAACAGGGTCCTCATTTTTTGGTTTAGGTATATACTTTTTATCTTATTAAAAATCTATGCTTTAAAAGTTTATTTATCATAAATTGAGTGCTGTACTTTGTCAAGGACAATTTCTACATCTACATGTTATTAAGTTAGTTGTTCTCATGTTTTACCATCTTTAAATCACTGGTATAAATCCAACTTGTTTACAAGGAGCAATTCTTCGGATATAGTGCTATAGTTTTTTTTTTTGCTGGAATTTTATATAAAATGATATTCATTAGCGATGTGGTTCTATAATTTTCTTTCTTTGCTTTGTCGTTTCCTGTTTGAAGTATCAGAAGTATATGTGAGTCACAAAATGAATATAGTATAATGTTTTCTTTCTCAATTTTTATAACTATTTGTGCAATATAGGTATTAATTTTGTTTTAACAAAATGAAATTTATCTTTAAATTTCACCTAGACTAAAAGTTCCTTCCTTTGGTAGTTACCTATAGGTACTTCAATTTCTTTTTCTGATATTGGATAAAAATCTCTATTTCACATTAATATTCAATTTTGATATTTTAAATAATAGTAGATAATACTATAATTTTTTTAAATTCTTAGATTTGCAGGCATAGAAGTATGGGTAATATGTTTGGATAATTATTTCTATTTCTTCTCAGTGTTGTGACTTTTCCTTGTTCAATTTTTAATTTGGCTATTTGAGTCTCCTCTCTGTTCTTTTTGATTGATTAGGTTAGCATAAGGTTTATCAATGTTCTTTGTCCTTTTAAAGAACCATGCTTTACTTTTAATCTATCAATCGTACAGTGTTTTTGTTCTCCCATTAATCTACTTCTCCTCTAATTTTTAAAATCTCCTCTTTTATGTATGTTTCTGGTTTTTTTTTTCTAATTTTAGCGTATATCTGAATTTTTATCTTTATGGACCTCTCTGTAGCATTTGACACTACTGACCACCCTTTCCTTCAGGATATTCTCATCTTTGGTTTTGGGTTGGTTTTTTTTTTTTTTGACATTGCTTTCTTGGTACTCCTCCTAACTGTATGATAGCTCCTTCTCAGTCTCCTTTGCCTTGATCTTCATCCATCTCACATCTACAAATTGAAGGAGTTCCATAAAATTCTATCTTGGGACCTCTTGTCTTCTTTCTTTACTGTATCACTCATTACTTCTGTGCTTATAATTCCTCAACGTATATAGTTAGCCCTAGTTTCTTTGCTGAAATCCAATCCCATATCAACTGTCTTAAATATTTCAAATTGTGTGCTTCATATCTCAAATTAAACATGTCTAAAACCACACTCATTACCTTCCACCAAAATGCAACCCTTTTCCAAATTTTCCTGTTACTGTTGAAGGTACCACCATCTTTACAATTACCCAAATATATAACCTCAGTGTAAACCTCTACCCTCATTCTCATTCACCTTATCTATCCAATGAGTGGCCAAATCTTTTTTCTGCCACATCTCTCACATGATGTCCTTTTCTCTCTTCTCACATAGCCATTGATAAATTTCAGCCTCTTGTCCCTCCTTTTCTAAACAATTACCATAGCCTTCTTCATAGTCTCCCTACTTTCCACTGCAGTCTATCCTCTGCAGCAACTAAACTGGGGAGTGGGGGAAGAGAGCCTTTGGGAACAGGGTCCCATCAAAGAAAATTTAACCCAAACTAATCATAGGGACAAAGAATTGGCTTAAAAGGAGATTAAAAATCTTAAAAAAAAAAAAAAAAGAATCTCTGGCTTCCTTCAAGACTTGGTTCAAACACTACATATATACTCTATATGTATCTTGTATGTATGTATTTATTAATAATGAGAGCTGACATTTACATAGACTTTAAGACTTACAAAGTACTTTACATATATTATTTCATTTGTTTCTCACAACAATCCTGTGTTGTGGTAGGCACTATTATTATCCCCATTTCACAAATGAGGAAACAGGTTGAGAAAAGTTAGATGACTTGTCCAGGACCTCAGAACTAGGATGGATTCAACAACCTGTATTTATTGTACATAATGGTCTTTCTGCCTTGCCACTAAAACTTAATCTCCTTGAGGGAAGGGACTATTTTGATTTTCCTTTGTATCCTGAGCCTTTGGAAGAATGCCTGACATATGGTAAATATTCAGTACATATCTGATTTAATAATTGGTCATTTGTTTCTCTGAAGGTTTGTGGTTCTTACAGTTTAGAAAAAGCAACATGCTATTCCCCTTGGATGGTCAAATGATTCATGTAGCTTGCAGCTGTATTAATGTAAAAAGGCAGTATGATAAAGAGAAAAAAGAGCTGAACTTGAAATCAAGAGAGACCTGGATTCAAATCCCACCTCTGACATTTACTAGATGGCATAGTGGATACTGCACTGGGCTTGGAATCAGGAAGCTAAATCTTCCCAAGCTCAAATCTGGCCTCAGATAATTAATAGCTGTGTGAAACTGGGCAAGTCACTTAACTCTGTTTGCCTCATTTCTTATCTGTAAAATGAGATGGAGAAGGAAATGGCAAACCACTCCAGCATCTGTGTTAAGAAAACCCCAAATGAAGTCACAAAGAATTGGACATGACTGAAAAAAACAACAGAGCATGTGAATATAGGCAAGTCACTTAACCCAAATCTCAATTTTCCTATCTGTAAAGTGGGGATAATAATAATAATAATAATAATACCTATTTCACAGAACTGTTGTGAAGATTTAAAAAGATAATGCACTTTGTAAACCTTAAGACATTATATAACTGTTATCCATTATTACAAAAACATTCTGTCAATTTAATCAATCTAGATCAGGGGTGGGGAACCTGCAGCCTCGAGGCCACATGGCCCTCTGGGTCCTCAAGTGCTTTGACTGAATCCAAACACAAGTTTGGTCTCAAGGCCACAGATTCCCCATCCCTGATCTTGATCAAGGGTTCTTAAGATTTTTTGTGTTATGGACTCCTTGTGCAATCTCCTGAAGCCTGTGAGCCCCTTTTCAGAGGAATGTTTTTAAAATGTTAAAATAAAACACATAAGATTACAAAGGAAACCAATTATATTGAAATACTGTTATCACAATATTTTTAAAAAGTTCTTGGACTATAGGTTAAGAACCCCTAGACTATCACATAAAACAAACATCAAGGTGATTAATTTTTTTTTACTTCATTTACTAACAACTATAATACAGTATAGTATAGAGTAGTGGCTCTAGAAACAACTTCTCAGGCTTATCTCTCATTTATAAAGAACCTGAGAAAATAGTCACTAGATGTTCTGAGTTTTTTTCTTTAATAAGCTTTACACTCACATTTCTTTTCCTATATACATTTGGAAAAATAAATAAAATCCAGATTAAAATAACTTTCCAACCTTTAATTATCCAAAACTGAATAAAAATAGTATAAATGTATAATTAGTAAAAATAAAAATACCATAAATGGAGTCTTCAGATGTATCTCTTTAGTTTTTTTTACTTCAAATCCACGTGCTGTTAATTCAGTTTTCCAATTCAGCTTCTCTCTTAGTCTTAAAATATGTCTTATAGCATTGTCATCCTTTGGTACTAGTTTAAAATATTAAATAAAGGCTCATGTGTAAGTTCCATATCTATAAATTAAATAATCAAAATCTCTGCATAGCACAATAAACAAATATCTGCATTCAGAAAATATTTAAACACAAATTCTACAAATCTAAATACTGGAATAAAAGAAAGTTTATTTGAAGACAATGTAAATATAAGAGAGAAGTATCTTAAAACCTAGTCACATGATAGCTAATCATAATACGTCTTTCTATTTCTTAAAAAGCTCAGAAGATCTATTTCATAACTATACGTATGGGTTACAATCATCTACCATTACTTTACATTCAAATATAAAGAGCAAAGATAACATGCTATGTCATAGCTAGCACAGTAGATAGAGTACCAGGCCTGGACTTCAGGAAGACTCATCTTCCTGAGTTCAAATATGGCCTCAGACACTTACTAGCTGTGTAGCACTGGGCAAATCACTCAACCCTGCTTGCCTCAGTTTCCTTATCTGGAAAATGAACTGGAGAAGAAAATGGCAAACTACTCTAATATCTTAAAACTCCAAATGGGGGCACAAAGAGTTGGACGTGACTGAAATGAATGAACAACAACAAATTTTTTACACTTGAATAAACATATACATACATGTACAAAGTATCTAATAGTGTCTTGAAGCTAATAATCAAGGCCTCATGCATGAATCCCATCTCTCTCTTAACATTTGTTCTAGTCTATTTTGTCCAATCCTGTGATATCAGGTATCAAAGAAACTTGATGGATGGGGACTATGATTAGTGTAGGAATTCACAGGGACAGAACCGATAAAGTGGGGGAAGGGAAGGAGAGGTGAAGAACATTCTATGTTAAAGAGACTTGCCTTTATGGGGAAATGTAAGAACTCAAAGGGAAAACATAAGGAAGTGCGTTTAGATAAACATCAGCAGGAGAATGAAGTGATATTGCCGTAGCATCTCATTCTAGATCATCCACAGAAATGGAAAAAAGACAAAAAGTTACAGAAATAGACTACAAAAAGTTACTACAAATAGACTAGCGTGGAGTCATAATATCCCAGATAATTACTCAGACATTGCTGTTCATCCTGTTCATCATTGCACTATGAATTGGGTTTAAGTGAGGCAGAATTCAGCAAAGTCTTTAGCCTCACTCTTTCCTGAAGAGTGATCAAAGTCCAATGACAAGACAAAAGTCAAGATGACTGGTGATGGCCCAGGATGCAGTGGGTAACCTTGGCCTTTCTAAATTAAAGTCTTTACCAGGTCTCAGTTTGTCTCAGGCAACCCCCATTCTATGACAAAGGGTTAGCTAAGAATTGAGAAAAAAGAAGACCTAGTTTATCATCAGAAAAGTATCAGTCTGGGAGAGGGATGATCCTAAAACTTTCTGACCAAACTGAAAACAACTGTTATTTACACTCATTCTAAGATATCAAACACTCCCCAATTGATAAATGGTCAAAGGATATGAACAGGCAGTTCTCAGGTGAAGAAATTAAAGCCGTCTACAGTCACATGAAAAAAAATGCTCTAAATCACTATTGACTAGAGAAATGCAAATCAAAACAACTCTGAGGTACCACATCACACCTATCAGATTGGCCAACATGACTAAACAGGAAAATGATAAATGTTGGAGAAGATGCGAAAAAATTGGAACACTAATGCATTGTTTGTGGAGTTGTGAAATGATCTGACCATTCTGGAGAGCAATTTGGAACTATGCCTAAAGGGTTATAAAAATATGCATACCCTTTGACCCAGCAATAGCACTTGTAGGTTATATCCCAAAGAGATCATACAAATGGGAAAAGGACCCACATGCACAAAAATATTTATAGCAGCTCTTCTTGTGGTGGCAAAGAATTGGAAATTGAGAGGATGCCCATCAATTGGGGAATGGCTGAACAAGTTGTGGTATATGAATGTAATGGAATACTATTGTGCTATAAGAAATGATGAACAGGCTGACTTCAGAAAAACCTGGAAAGACTTGCATGATCTGATGCTGAGTGAAGTGAGCAGAACCAAGAGAACGTTGTACACAATAACAGCCACGTTGTGTGATGAGAAATATTGATAAACTTAACCCTTCCTGGCAATACAAGGATCTAAGACATCTCCAAAGGCCTTGTGATGGAAAATGCTATCCACAAA